TGGGAATCGCTAATAAATTCATTCATTTATTAGCAATTCCCAGCAGGCTTTCGCGCTCGTATTCGACTTTTCCGCTTTGCTCGGGGGACAACCTTAATTGAAATAGCTGTATACAAGATACCTCTACAGTAATACTACAGTCTACATTCACATACTAAAATTATATAATTACACTGGTTGGGAAGGTTTCATTCATTAACTATATACTAATACGTATACTACTTCATCATTCCAGATTTTTGCTGCATAGCATTAGTTTTAGATAAGTTGCATAGCATTAGTTTTAGATAAGCTGCATAGCATTAGTTTTAGAAAGCATCAGCATTATAAGCCACGTAAATCATAAAATCTGTTTTCTTGGAGAAATTTTCTGTATGGCAACACTTTTGAAGAGCTTTTCTCAATCTACAAAGCATGTTTTTGGAACGTCTATCGTAGGCTACGAGTCGCCAGACTGATTCTGATTTTTCGCCAAAAAGAAATTCAGTAAGTTTTGTCGCTTTAATATATTTCTGCAAATTGATACTAATTTGAAGTTAGTGTTATTGATAATTGTATTTTAGTTTTATGTTTCTCAACCGGCATATATATGTATTTGAACTGACAGCTAACCGCAGCTGTCTGTTTAATCAATATTTAATAAGGTGTTGTACCACATTTGCATTAAAATCACATCTTTTGCAATAAATCCTCAAAACACGACAACTGTTTTATCCTCACGTTTCAATTGCGTCCGTGTTGCATCAGACATTCGGCTCGAGTTTGCATAATACACGGCCGCCCATGCATTGCTGCTGTATATATTACATAAACAATGCCATGCAGTGGACAATTTCAAAAAATATAAACGGAACCCAATCTGAAGACAGACTGAAAAGCATTGATGTGTCAAAACAAGACGTGCCAGGAATGATTATCTGATATTTCGATTTTATCATACTATATATAGTTAGTCTAATGATGATTTTGGAATAAAATCGAAAGGATCACAAAGATGGGCTATAAAACACCTTTGCATGGTTCGAAAATGCGCAAAGCTGGAATAATCGATATTGCGCAAATTTTACAAAATTTCTCGTTTGAATCTTGTTCGCTTTGATTCAGTGGTATGAAACATTATACTTGAATGGCAAATTCAGTATAACACAGAAACACGATCCGAAGATTGGCATTTTGAAACCCAAGATAAATATACAAGGCGAGAGCCAGATAGCAAGTTTGTGAATGAACTATGAATGAATATGCTTTGCACTTACCTAATATCCTTGCTTGTCCAATCCTCTACGGTATCTAAATTGTACTTGAACAAGTTGGTATAATTTGTCGTAATTTGCGGCGCCTTGCGATCTATGTTGTATTTTGCAGCACTTTAACTTCGATTTGAGTTGGGTGCGGTTGAACGCTTCCGGATTTTTCGTGGAATATGTTCAGACACATCGCACAACTTGTTCCGGTTAGGAGACTTTTACTGCTTATTTCAAAAAAATTTATATGTCAATTATTGTTTATATAGCACATAAATGTGAAATACAATAAGGTCCGTTTCATGCGTCGTACTTCAAATCAAGCACGCGACATTTGTGTGAATTCGGTACAGCAGTTCATTCATACGGCGTATTTTATTCCACGAATTTTCAGGACGGTGGTTGGATTACTTAAAACCGTAGTGTGTTTTAAAAAACTAATTGAAGAATATTGTACATGGAAACTGTCGAGTGGAAATTTATATTCATTAGTTAGATTTAACCAGGGACAGCTGCAAAAAATGCAACTTTAGGTCCCCGGAACTTTAGGAACCTATACATATATACATTGTTTGTTTGTTTAAATACTTTATTGGGTAAATATAATAATTATTTACAAAATACGTACTAATACTATGCATGCGAAGAACAAATATTACCCAAATGGAAGAGGTGCGAACGGAACGTAAATAATTTGCGCTATCCATGCAAGGCACCTTTCCAACAGAATACATGTAAATATAGTTTACTATGTAAATACTAATAACAAGTTTATACAACAAGACAATTAACAACCTCGTACCCATTAACTCCTATGACAAGAACAGTCACGTGACATAGACCAAGTACATAACAAGTTTACATCGAATACGGTCGATACTAACATAGAATAATAATTAAAGAGGTAGCTAGTATTTAAATGTTTTGACACTAGAAAATGTATTTGGTGGAGCTACTTTACAAACACTGTTCCATAATTTCACGATCCGGTTGAAATATGAGTTCTGCTATGTTGTGGTTTTACACAATGGAGTCTTGAGCAACAGGTTGGGATTACGACATAGACGGGAGTGGTTATGGGTTACAAACGAGACATAGTCATGGACATTGAGATCGGAAATACCGTAAAGAGCCTTGTAGAAGAACATTAGATCTTTTATCTCTCTATCATAACACAAAGGTAGTAAGTTCAGATCAACGAGACGCTCATTGCAGCTGGAATCACCTTTTCTAGCTTTCAATATCCATCTAGTGGCTCGTCTCTGCACACGCTCTATCTTTGTCTTCTGTCAGCAGATGTATGGGGACCAAACTTCACAGGCATAACATAGATTGGATTTTACCAACGAAAGGTACAAAGTACGTCGGACGCTGACGTCAGTCAGGAAAGGGTATGTTCTCTTCAATAGACCGAGCAGCTTGTTGGCTTTAGCTGTGATCTCATGGATATGAGAATCCCATGAAAGCTTTCCTGTCATTGTAACCCCAAGATCTTTCTCTTTTTCAACATGAGTAAGAGTGGTTGAGCCCAGTCGGTATGTGAAGTCCACAGGTTGTTTCTTTCGCGACACAGTCAACACTTTACATTTTAACTCGTTGAACCTCATATTGTTGGTATTGCTCCAGGTGGCTAGGTTTGTCAAGGTTTGTTGTAATTGGCGAGCATCATCTTCGCAAGTAATTTTCCTGAATGTTTTTGTGTCGTCATTACTAGCCACTAGGGTACCGCCATGTTAGGTTATGGATAAAGTATCAAAATTTTGTTGAGATGCCAACAAAATCTTGATATTTATCCGTAACCTAACACGGGCGGTACCTAGTGTATATACATGAACTTGTGGTTAGAGTTCGACAACTGGTCCTCAATGTAGCTCAGTTGGTTAGAGCGCTGCACCGGTACCTAAAGTTGCATTTTTCACAGCTGTTCCTGCTTAGCTCTAATAAATGTATATAAATTTCCACTTGATAATCTCCATCTACAATGCCCTTCAACTATTATGCAATCGAGTAAGATGCCAACAAAATCTTGATATTTAAAAAGCTAAGCATTTTACTAAATTATATGCTTTTAGTTTTGCATTTAATTCGGCATATATATGAGAAGTACGCGCACGCCGTCTGGAACAAGCATCAGACGCCAAACTTTTAGTACCTAATTCTTGAATGGAATTATATTTGGTTTATGACGATGAATATAAAAATAGGGTCAAAATTAGACAGAACTCACACATCCATGCATGAACTGAGGGGTGATCTATTAGGAGCGGGTAAAAGGAGTGGGCATATAATTGAACAGTGGGTAATTTCTCAGAAAGTACTGATATAACAGACATACAGTTCAAATTTACAAAAATTAAAAAGCCTGGATATCTACCACAACTATATATCTATCTACGTATGTCTACGTCACAATCACTTGATGAGCAAAAAATTCGGAATACCCATTACATTTCTAAGAATGATTTTTGGAGAGAGTTACCTTTGGTATTAAAGTTCGATCATTGGTAACGAGCCGAAGTATAAGCATTGTCAAAAAGCACTCATGTCAATGCTTGGAATTTTTTTTAAATGAAAAGAGTTGTGTAAACAGTATCATGTAGATTCTTCTATATATTAATATTTGTGGAATGCCTGAAGGACATATGAACTTCTGCAGAATATTCTGAAATTTTCGCTAATGCACCACCGATTCCAGACAGATTGAAATCGGTTCCTTGTGCAAGAATGTAAAGCAGACAACTGAGAAATTCTAGTGAATCTTCTATTAATGTGAATTCTGCCCGCTGACGCCAAGACACTATTTGAACGTAATTCAACAAGAATATCCATGTGTCAGTCACGAAAGTCAACAGCCCTGCACCTAACCTTCTAAATTAGTTGGTTATATACTAATTTAATTTGTATTCATTCCTATCAAGTGTGTGTTTACCCGAACCCTATATGAAGGGTTAGCCCTGCCAACCTTAGCTGATTTCACCCAGTGTGCGCACGAGATAAACCAGTCTCTTGCCGAGTCTGGTTCGTTCCTCCCTGATGGAAATCAGCCTTAATTTATTTTCTTGTGAGGCCCAAAATCATATTTTGTGTTGCAGATTTTCGAGTAATATAACCAACAAACAATTTAATATTGTTCTACGGACTAAATATTTGAATCGAAAAGCTGAGTTTGACACAAATAGGCTAGGCGAGTTTTATACTCAGCCCTCCTAGGAAGGGATGGCCAGCCCCTCCTGTTGCATTTATATGGGAGATTTCCAGCTCTACTACTACGGGGAAGTCAAAAGCGAAATCTCGCCTTTGGGAGCTGGCCCCCTTTCATATTAATATGAAAACATTTTTCCAGGGAATTCAATGGACCTTTCCCCTTATAACTAAAATCTCGATCTAGACAAAAATTTCATCACATCTTGAAAGAGCATCACAAAATTAGTAATATTCCAAAGTTTTGTTGCAAAATCTTGTAAAATGCGGATAATATAGCCTTGCGAAGTTTGCCGTTTTTCAGTCATTTTGTATTACAAACGGGAAATTGACATCCGATTCGGGTGTTGGGGCTGCAATTTCGCCGTTTGTAATGCAAAATGACTGAAAATTGCAAACTTCGCAAGGCTCTATTTTCCTCATTTTACAACATTTCGCAACGAAACTTTGGAATATTACTAATTTTGTGATGCTCTTTCAAGCTGTGATGAAATATTTGTCTTGACTTGCCTAAATAAAAATTTTGGTCATAAGGGGAAAGGTCTATTATAGGGCGGAGTGCTGTCCTTTATGTAGGGCTCATATAAACACCTCCTAATAATTGGACCATAAAGAATTTTAAATATTAGTTCTCAACTAAAGTTCAGTTAATTACTACATGCTGCCGAGATTTGTCGTGTAACTATTCGTATTTTGACATATGAAAATTACTGCAGACGCCACAATAGACCTTACCGATTATTCTCTTTTACCCAATGGCCTCGTTTCCATGTTAACTTACTTTAGCATGTCAGGGGCAGATAAAGATTATATTCCCACGTTTTCCTGGACGAATTTGTTTCTTGCTGTTCTTAGGCTCAATAACAAAGTAATTTTCAACCGTACTAAGCACAAAACATGAGTAAATATTTGACATGAAAACGAGGCCAAAGAGAATAATCGGTAAGGTTTATTCCTCTTCGTTTAGTTTACAGCGAAATTTAAAATGCAGCTACTTTACCTGTGCTTATTCGACTACATACGCCAGAATACAAATTGTACACGACAAATCGCAGCATTTAAACGTACTTTTACTATGTCAAAAACCCATAAAATCATGTTGATTCAATCATCGTTTGTCAGTTAAAAGATTTTGTCCCTTGTCAGTTAAGCAAGGTTTCCATATGGTCGTAACGGTCGTAAAGATAGAGACACGATCTTTCTCAATGGCTAGATTATAACAGTTTTTTAACTGTAAACTACATATAAATCATAAGTACTCTTCATTACTAATCACTCTGCCTATTTTCAGTTCTAAACTGTTGTATTTCGGCTGTTGCGAAAGATTGTGACTCGATCTTCACGACCGTTAAGACTACATAGAAACCAGAAACCATTCAAATCTTCTTTTTTATTCTTCCAAACAGTATTCATCAACAAGTTCCAGCACTTTCGAGGCTGCATCAACCGCCATTTCTGCTTCATTCTTGCTGAACGCTTCAGCTGGAACGACATCGAATGGTTGGCGGTTGGGATACCGAGTAGGTAGGTAATATTTTGCAACTTTTCTCACAGACTGCATGTCTTCTTCCTCCGGTATTTTTATTTCTTCTCTTAGCTTGGAAGCTAGTTCTAGCACGTCGTGAGAGCCAAGCAATCCACCAGAGATACCACAGTAGTAAAATAACATGGCTTTTAAGCATTTCTCCACAACTTGGTGGCTCTGAAAACAGGCCAGAGCATTGAAAGGCGGACCAGATTGAAGTAACCATCTTGCACCTTGTAAATCACTCTTGGATTGTTCTAGCCAGCGCGTCGCTTCTTTGCAGCTCTTTGAATAAAATCTTTCTTCTTCACCTTCATCTCTAATCCTGGAATAGGTTTATGTAGAAAAACATTTAAAGACCAATTTCCATCTTATTAAAAACTACTGTTTAAATACAGCTATTGACCGATTCAAGCTATCACAATTTTTCATTATTTTATATTTTATGCATTACCAGGCTGATAAATAACTGTAGTAAAAGTGTAAGACTGAAAACAATTCATGCAGGTGAAAATATAGCCCTTCCTTCAAAATGTGCAATAAGCACCGAAACGAGGATACAACTCAAAATATTGGATATATTTAAGATAAATAATTGCATATTAGTAAGTTTATGTTTTTATATCATCATTGCATGTTTCGACATGCTTTGATGAATTGTTTACAACAAATAATCAAATACATGGTTATAACACCAGATCTGCATGCTTGTCGAACTAATGCTTGTCGAACTAATAGTAAGAAGTTCACCATTTTACACTCAGGACCGAATATTTGAAATTACTTACCTATAAATATAATTGTTATAAACACAATCTCTTCTTTCAAAACGCCAACTTCGTAATTTTTTGCTTAACGAATATTCAGTAACAATACATAAAATTATTAGAAAATCTATTATAAAATTTTGTAAATCTTCTCTCTTAATTTCATTATGTTTCAATTTCATTATGTTTGTTATTTAATACAGCCTCAAACTATTGATCAATTAAATACCTAACTCTGAATTTTGAGATTGGGTGACCTCTTTACACAAGCTCTAAGCTTCTTGAGGTCTCCTCGCCGACTTTACTTTAATAATATAATTATCTTGAAACAACAATGACAACTACTTTTTGAATCGTTCTATTTTATACACGCACGTAATCCTTTCAATCCCAAACCGAATCCCACCCGGCGAAATGATAATCTAATAACTGCATTTTGCAGGAATCCAATTCCGACCACAGAGGTGCAAGGTGCATAAACTAACCATTATGCACAGACACATCCACTGTTCACTTAATATGTTTCCTTTGAAACTGTATTTCACGTTCGCAATTTCTATAACATTTCAAAACACCTCAAAATAATTAAACTACATATCATACCTTGAATGTCCACCACCACCACCGCCACCACGATAACCGACGCCGTATCCAACACCATTAAAACTTGCACTACCACCCTTACCCCTGCTGGTCCCGTGACTTCCACCATTATTCGTTCCCGTCCCACCAGATCCAACAAATCCATCACGTCCTCCTTTCACAGGTTCATCATCACTATCCCATTCCAAAATTTCTTCGTCAAGGTCAGTGAAATCATCAGTTGCTTTGGAAGTCCTTGAAGTAATATTAAGTTTATTCAACTCTCTTGAAATTTCTCTTGGAGAAGGACAGTCTAACATTGCAATCAGCCCCTTTTCGTGTCGGATAAAATTTCCTAGGATCTTGTTAACACAGGTAACTGTTGAGACCAATCTTTTATCATCTTTAAAGTTGTGTTGCATGTACAAAATCCATGTTTCTTCACTCTCTATTGCGTAACAACTGTCTATCAAATAATCCAGGACCTCATTGGTATCACGGTCGATAACATGAATCTTTATGTTGTCCAATCCTGTGCACTTGGTTTGAACATCTGTCTGCAGTTTCTTTATTCTTTGCTCAAATTTTTGAGGATCTTGGTGATCTTCCATCAGTAACCGTTTAAGCCCTTCCTGGAACTCATCTGATCGCAAAAGATTCTGAAATTGTTGTTGGAATTCACAAATGGAACCATGCTGGGTCTCGGAACAGATGGAAATCTTGCACTCGGGATCTACTTCTTCTCGGACAATCTCCTCAATCTTCACAGGACGTAAATGCTCTGGTAAAGCATCGATATAATCATCAGCGATCTTTTTAAGTCCGCACTCTTCGAATGAAAGCAGAATCGGACGTTGAAGGTTTTCCATCATTTCTGTAAAACGTGGTGAAACTTTGCAAACCATTTTGCAGGAACTGACAAGCTGTTTACTTTGATTTGGTAAATACAAATCATTTATTCCGTCAGCACTTTTGCCCCTGTAAAATAATTCAAATAGCACACGCATGGCATACTTGACTTTCTTCTCCAGTTCAATAGATAGCTGCCCTTCTCCGATTTCATTGTGTATAGAATTGAGAACACAAGCAACCTGCAACGGTGTTGGCTTCTCAGTTGCGCCAAGTCGTTTGAGAAAATGTTCCAACTCTCCAAATTCCCGGGGTACAGGATAGAGGAATGGTTTCAAAGGGGTGTTTTCAGAAAGTTTGAACACCAGTTGTTCTGCTCTCACAAAAGTTTCATCTTCTTCTAAAAATATGCATGGAACACTCTTTAGTCGAATACCAATATCGACACAAACTTCAGTGCACCCTTCATGTAGACTGCGACCGCTGCATTGCGTGGCATCCGATAGAAATTGGTAAATTGACTTGGTTATTTCATGTAAGAGTTGACTATCAACCGAGTCAGCACTATTCGAGTTAACTATGTTCTGTATATGGTCGATAACTTTGGTATACACCGGTCCAGAGCAAGCGATGCCAAGGTTTTTCAATTCAGCCATATTGTTAGGCTGTAGTTCTGCCCATTCGGGGAGTATGGGAACAGTTGTCCAGGCTAGATATCTTAAACACCACGGCACTGCATTACTGAATTGAATATAAGGTGGACAGCCGTTTCCCGTACACTGATACTGCTCGTGTATTGAGGTTAATTCTTCATCCACTTTACCTGGACCAATAAATTTGATTTGCGATACCCGAGATAGAAATTCCTCATCTTGCAAGGTTTCCTCAGAAAACAAACACTTTACTAGTACTTCAGATCGTTTGCGGTTCCGTTGGTTACTAGAATCCTCCTTTCCAACCTTGGCAACCGTCGTACAAAATTGTAGGAATAACTGAGGAGTGATATTAACTTGCAGTCCAATATCATAAAGCAGACGTAACCAATCTTTATTGTTGAAAGGCGAAGGAGGGAACATATCGTAATCATCTTCAAACATTTTGAACATTTCGTTGTCCGGATCGAAGAATTCCCGCGCGAAATGAAGATCACCATGTTGGCCAGGAATACAGGGACTTTCAGTCATACTTTCAAGTAATATATTGTTGTCAGGAAGAAATGGGTAGACTTTATCTCGGATGTATTCCAGATGTCTTATTTGGCTTTCTCTAGTAAACATGCTGAAATGTTTGAAGACATACTCCACGTAAAACTGCGTGACATCTTGACCAGCTTTAACACCAAGGTCGCTGTAAAGTTTATCAAGTGCAGGTAAAGCATCAGAGTTCAGGAAAAAACATTTAGCTCGCTTTTGAAGCTCATCTAACTGTTGTGTTGGAACGCCAGAAGGAATGAGAGCATACGAAGAACACTGATCGATTAAACTCACAAACTGTCCATCCAATGCTTTATGGAACGGTAAACCCTTTACCATTTTCTTGCATTGTTCCAACAGCCCCGACCTTTTGTAATTATCTTGCACGAAGTGGAGAAAATTGCGAATTTCGTCTTCCTGTATTCCTGAGAGGTTCAGCTTGCTTACCCTCAACATATGATGCAGGACTGTCAAGACGTCAACAACATTGTGAGGGTGTGCTACATACCGATCAGTGACAGCTGTTTTCCTTTCCAGACCCTTTTTGCTAAATTTGTCTGTTGTAGTATCGTCTTCGGAAATATGATTAGTAGCACTGGAATGTTCGTCATCGAAAGTGATGTTGTTATTCAACACTGGGCATTTCAAATTACTCAAGAATTCGCGCACGTTTAGTTGCTCTGCAGACTCGGTTCCAGATGTTGTCATATCCAAGACAGTTTTTGCGTCCCTGATCATTACAAGCTTTCCACACTTTGTGGGAATCACGGGCCATTCTGATAGACATTTTAAGGAGACAAAATTTTTATTAGGCTCAGGCCTTGCGTAATTTACCAAGAAGTCCCAAAATCGTTTGAACCATTGTTCAGATAGTATTCCTTCGGCTGGGAATTTCCATATTGCATCATCTTCGATAGCCCTTAACACTTTGTCTGTGAACACGTCTGGCAGCAAGCTTGCAAGGTCTCTTACAGTAAATTTGCGAACGACGTTTTCTTTTGATTGAGTTGCGTTCCAGGGGATTTGATGGATGATTTCAGAGTGAACAAACAAGTGTAACTGCGTTGGGAAAAGATCTCCGAATTTAGAACGGAACACAGGGTGACATGAATCAAAGACTCTTAGATAGCCGTCTTGTGTTAGAAGCAAAGGTAGACCTTCTAGGTTTTTGCTGAAATTATCCAGTTCGCAACAATACTCTATCAACGCCAACAACTCTGGGACACTGTTGATCGCGGTAGTTTCCAGTTTTTTCGGAAGATTGGCAATCTTGCAGGTAGACCATCTCCATTCGAATTCTCTTAGGAAAGTAATGAAGCTTGCAGGACGTAGTTCATGCGAACTTACACAAGCTGATATAAAACCATTGTATATCCGCCGTGGGGCGTGAAGCAAAACAGGAAGGCCAATTCTTATCAACAAATGCAAAAAAACATCCCTTTCAAGAGAACTCTTGAAGTATGCTTGGCCAGCTGATAGCCATCCAGTACAGGTAACCTGAACGTCCTTGGGTTCAGAAGTATCCGTTTTCTTCATACAGGTCATTAGTCGAACAAAAGGAGACAAGCTTCTCTCCGGAAGTTTATGTGAAAAGCTGGTGGTTCCTTCGTTTTCAGACTTAATTGGAACTAGCAATGGTAAAACATCAGCTCTTGTTTGCCCCAGGTACCGATACAACCCAATTGTAAGAGTCCTCCAAGAAGACTTATCCACACTCGGGAACAAAGCATGATAACGTGAAAGTTGGTTGTCAGCCTCATCATTGCAAAGATGGTTACGAGATTCCCTGATCAATGCTGCATAGGCGGGTGGTAACACATAGATTTTCATGAATTGGTTCCAATTACACTTTGGTCCCCTTCCATCGGTATCCTTCCAAAGACCTCGTCTGCTGTTATCCAAAGCAAAATGACCATTGACATGAACTGGTAGTTTAGTGTAGTCCTCTGGGAGAGGCAGGAAGCAATAAACTATGCCACGTAACGCTTCTTTCTTTGAATGCGTCCATAGCCGAGCTGCGAAGCCACCATGTGGAAACAGGCCGAGTTCACGACCATCGGGGATTTCACCGTGTTTCTTTGTAGTGAAGATAGATCCAATGCACTTCTGTACCAACCATTTCTCGACTTCTTTCTTCTTCTCCATAATTTTTAGGGTGTAGCTGACTCCCTCCCACCCTATTTCTGCAGTTGGAGTGCTATTCAGCTTACAAATCTTGCGTGCCAGTCCCTGACGCTTCTTTTCATCCTCCGAAGTAATAACGGTCTCGACCTGATATATTTCTTCAAACTTGCCATTCGGATGAATTTTCGACAGAGTTATCTTCTTCACATGATTTAAAAATAACAACGACTTCCGGGCTTCAGTTCGAAATGTCTCCATTAGTTCCTTCATGTCAGGGAATAATTTAGATATCTCAGATATATGTCCTTTTCGTCTCAGTGGAAAACGGAACATTGTCGAGCCTTGTAAAGTAAAATGGTCACCAAGATATCCATTGAGTGTATCTGAGAAATCATCCCGGAGTTTTGCAGTGAGCTTCAATAATTTGCCAGGATCTTCATCTAGGACATAACGACGATGGGGATCAAGCATCACTAGGGTATCATTATTCGATAGGAAGCTTGGACAGTTCGTAAGGTGGTACACTGAATTGAAACCAATTCCATACCTCCCAGTCGTTTCAATGTTATCTCGTTTGCTTCCAGTGCCAAGCTTCTTAATTCCCTTGAGATCGTCGTCGGTAAATGGTTTGTCATTGTACACACACAGCGCCGGTCCTTGTATTTCTTCGCATGTTTTGTTTTCAATCGCTACTTTTTCACATCCCAGAGACCGAGTATCGTGTATGAAATGTATCTCTGAGGCTTCAGCATCGTCGGCGTTTTGTACGAGTTCCTTCAGTATTCCGTCAGGAGGATATCCATCTAGAATTCCATTCAGTCGGACAGTTAACTCCTCGTGCTGTCCAAACGACTCTCCATAACCAATGCGATGCGAATGTTTCTTTAATATGACATTTTTCAACGATTTCGCGCCAAGAGCATGTGCCGTTTGCGGTGGTATCTTCTCGTGGACTTTTAGGTTGTTATCTGGGTCTTCAAGCCACAAACTTAAATTTACAACAACATCTTCGCTTCGGCGCAAGATACTGTCGGTGTCTGGTAGTGGAATTTGGCCAATGTAATCCTCCACATCGGAATGTTGGACATTTATTTGACCGATGAAAAATGTTGCAATCTCTAATTCATCTTCTGTCAAGGTATCTCCTTGCTTTGTGTTTTCTAGTTCATAAAGAGCATTGATGTAGTCTTCATCATCAAATTTCTGTTTGATTTGCATTGCTTCGAAAAGTTGTGGATAGTCTCTTTTGTAGTTGGAGGGTAAGGTAAATAAATATGGAGCTCCGTTTCCGTTAGACGTAAAAGCGACTTTCTTGCTTTGCCTAAATTTGCATTCAAGAAACAACCAATCTCGCTTGCCCAGCTCGTTCAAGAAACTTTGATTTATTGCTTGCTTTTTAATTCTATCATTAAAGAATTCGTAAATTTTTTGGCAGACTGATTCGATAAACGTTTTCCTCGTATCTTGTTTTTCTTCCTCAGTTAACTTGCTCCAAAACTTAACTGCTTCGTCTAACTGTTGAATCACTAACTTGTCTGCAGGCCAACAGTTCGAAAATCCCAAGAGATTTTTTACTTCAGCATTCAGCTTTCCACAACCACTTTTTTCAGATGTGTTTACAATACGACAGGATGACCCGATCAGCTTAGCTTCCTTTGGCAAGAAAACGTCGTTTGGCGCACAAAAACGCGTGAAAGGCAACCCTGACGATCCTTTCCAAGGTAGAAGGTATTCACACACAGGCCTTTCTAACACTGGCAAGAATTTTTCCTGTTGAAGAAGACTGCGATAATAACCCGGCTTCGGTAGTTGATCTATACGCTTATTGAGGTATTCGATTAATTTTCGAGAACGTTCCGTTTCTGCAAGAAAACCAGTCTGAGCGATCGACCGAGCTCTTTCGTGGATTCCTGTCCAATCCAGATCCTTGACCATACCAAGTGTTTCCAAAATATACAGCCGGTTCGCATCACGGAGGCCATGTCCAATTGGAAAACGGTGATCGTCTTCGTTAAACAACTCTGCTGCAGGACCGAAAGGATGGATAAGTTCACTAGGTTTTGCAAGGATTCCTCCATCTTCTGACACTGAAATACAGGCATTTTGTTGGAACAAACTGCTCTCTTTGGTATGTGGGATGAGAGATGACAGATTACCCTTCAAGATACGATCCAAACCAAAGCAAACGATAGCATCTCGCTGAATCGGAGTCAGGGTTCTGATTTTTGGAAAGAAATATTGTTTCACAAACACTGTAAAGGTTAAAGTACGTCGTTGCAAGATGCCTTGTCGGTCGAACTTCATCAAGGTTTGCAAAATGTTACCGGGTAGGTTAAAAACATGTATCCCCAGTGATCTTAATACTTCCACTGTGGTCTCGTAGATCTCGTTAAAATCGTTGTTCAGTAAGAAACCATCGGTGATACTCATCCATATTCCATCGCTGTAAAATAGATTAGACTTCGGATGCAACAATGCAATGCAGACTTTCTGGACCATCTTTTCCCAGGATTTCATATCAACGACGTCATTGCTCGGCCACAAAGTGTGGAATTTGTAATCCTGAACCATGTCAATCCATTCTTTCATGTTTTCAAGAAGCATGATATAAGCTCTGGCTAATGCGTCTACCATAAGTGCTTCATTCCATTCCACCTCGATGGGTTGACTCCGCAAAATCGTTCGTTTCCAAATTTCAACACGATTAGGCATGATAGCAAAGTAGCCATTCATATGCACAGGAAGTCCTGTGGGAATAGACAACGGAAGAAAACAAAACAACTCTCCAGAGACATCTGAACTAACTCGTGATTCCTGGGAACTTTTCCCGCACGCTTTCTGGATAACAAACGCTGCCCCGCCACAGGGTAAGAAGCCACGGGCTCGCCCTTCGGGTGAGCGAGCAATTTTGAGGGAAGCATCAGTCCCACTTGCTGACACTACAAACCACATTTGATCACTGCTGTATCTACGATCACATCGACTCAACTCTGACGGTTCCTTCGTGGTGACAATGTTAACAAGCTCACAGCCAGATGGGAATTCAGGGCTGGGCATTTGAGATTCACGGTACTTTGCCCACCACTTTGAGCACTGCTTAATAAAAGGTTCTTCGTTGTTCACCACTTGTCGTCTGAAGGGCTGAACACTTGGTTTGCTTACAGATAACACCAACTGCATTTCATCAGGTTGACTCAATCCATCCAATTCATAGACGTCCACTTCCTTGATATGTTGTGAAAAGATCAACAAAGTCGAAGCACATTCACAAAGGCTACTAACAATAGCTTCAATCTTATCTCGACCATAAGCAGTTTTGCAGATATCACTACTACTTGCTTGGGAAGCCGTGCGGAATGGAAATCGGAATAATGTCCCGTCATAGTGGAAGCCATCACATGTTTGCATAGCGTTGCAACCAAAGACACCATCATACGGTTGAAACTGGTCGTGGTATCGTGTTAAGGACTCTGGTTTCGTAGCAAGGTTAATATGAATTCCAGGACGGGATCTGTCCTTAATGTGACGTTTCAAATGGTGAATATTCGGATCGAAGATGACCAACTGCTCTCGACTGATAAAACTCGGCACATCAGTGAGGTGATAGACAGCGTTAAAACCAAGCCCAAACCGACCAATTTTTGAAATATCTTCAACTTTCGTTTCTCCAGCTAGCTTATTGATATTTTCAAAATCTTCGTCAGTAAACACAGCATTATTGTAAGCCCATAAGGCTGGACCTTGACATTCGGCCATGCCAGGAGAGAATAAGCTATCTGTGTGACCATTTCTCCAATCCACCAAAAACTTGACTGTAGTAGCCCCTGCATCATCCGCATTTTGGATCAGCTCTTTGAAAATTCCCACGCCATCTTTGTACTCTCGGAGTATATTTCGAAGCCGAGTTGTCAGGGGTTCAAACTGTCCTGTTTGTTCAAACAGTTCTGTTGGAAAAAGACGAGTTTGTACAATCGGCTTGGTAGAAACGCTGTTTTCTCATATATTGGAGAATTGATATTGAGATATAATATTTCACCTACCTTCCTGATACTGCAGTGCAGCCATTACCAGCTGGTGTAAAATCCACCAGATTGACAGCATTCATACATTCAATTGCATGATGTCTGTAAGTGAATTTTTAGTTTCTGTCGACCATCTAAAATTAACAAAGCATATAATAATGCATGCCCAACTTTTTCTTACGGACATCTAATTAGGCTCTCTATTAGGCTCTCTATTGTTCAAGTGCTCTCGCCCAAATCATCCATGCTTATTTGAACATGTTTTTACTTGGTCTGTTCTGTTTAAAGCTTTTCTGGCATTGAAACGAGGCCAACATGTCGGTCCAACGTCATCCAGCATTGTTAGATGCAACATTTTTGACCTCGTTTGAGCACCATGGTAATGTTGGCTGATGTTCGAAGATGTTGGATTGCGTGTGATTTCGTTTAAATTAAAATTTTCATCCCGTATTGACCTATGGCTATGTTCAAATTTCGCAAGCTGTATTGTATAACAAAAGTGTTTCGGTATATACCAAAAATAAAAGAAATCAGTTAATGCCAGTGGCCCAGTAAACACGAAGCTCTGGGAAGATGTTCTGTGACTGGTTGATTACGACAATGACAAAAGACGTAATTGTCTTACATAAACAAAAGGAATATTGTTCTTGCTTCGTTCTTTAGAAAATCCATTCTATAGCTTATCCTTTTCTCATTGTCATAATCAATCAATCAGAGAACATCTTCCTAGAACTTTGTGCCGACCTCAGTGGCGAAGCCACTTTGGTCATGCTATGCAAATATTTCCGTGTTCATAGACCGTGAAAACAATCAATTTCTAAAGAAATGAATGATTTAAAATTTGCATAGCATGACCCAATTGTCGAGCTGGCTAACTTACGCCTGTATTCTAAAAGCTCACTCACACTCACTGAGTGGACGCTCATTCTCAATGAGTGCAACTCACCACTCAATGAGTGTCCACTCACACTCGACCGTCGACGGTCTCGGGTCCACAAAACACACTGTTTCCCTCGGTCTCAGTAAATAAGTGATAAATATTTTCCCCGTTGCCGTTCTAGGTTGCCAAACTCTCTAATAATGACCGGTCCCTTAAAACGCAGCTGTCTGTTTAATCAATATTTAATAAGGTGTTGTACACATTTGCATTTAAATCACATCTTTTTGAATAAATTCTGAAAACACAACTGTTTGAATGCACACGTTTCAATTGCGTTCGTGTTGTACCAGACATTCGGCTCGATCGAGTTTCATAACACGCTACAAAATTGATATCTCAAGAGTGAACGCAGCGAACGAGTGAGATCATGTTGAACACAAGAAATAAATCTGGTATTTCCAACTCCAAGCAACCATGTATTTTTCTGTTTATTATATAAAGGACAGTCTTTGAAAAGCGATAATTTTTACAGGAAAGCGATAATTGAAAAGCGATAATTACACATGTGAAATTATCATACATAAATAATCTCACATGTGAGCTAGATTATCAGTTTTATCAGTGCTCGAAATTTCTATAAAGCATGATACATTATATAATAAAGTTACATAAACAATACCAGCAGGCAATTTTAAAATATATTAACGGAACCCATGCATGCAATCTCATGAAGGCAGATGTCATAACAAGACGAGAATGAGTGTGTGCGGATATTTCGATTTTATCATGCACAACTCAGTAGTTAGTCTGACGTAGACTTTGGATTAAAATCGAAAGGATCACAAAGATATTAAGATACGGCAGGGCATTTTTTAAGACATGCAGTTACGCGTACATAAAGCCCATGCTGTGCAGCCTTATATGGAATGTCGAGAATGTGAGAGGTATCAAAAAGCAGCTTTTTCGACATGGATGAATTTTTACTAACGATCAAAAGGGCCCAGTTCATCTGAAAATATTGCTTCACTACTGGGGCAAGAAGCAAAGGGCTTACTGGGATAAATGCCCCAGTAGTTATATAGTTAAAAATGCCCTGTAAAAACACCTTCCATGGTTCGAAAATATGCAAATCCGGAATGGCATTGGCATTGCTATTGACGTATTGTGCAAATTTTACAAAATTTCTCGTTTGAATCTTGTTCGCTTTGATTCAATAGTGTGAGATATCATTGTAATGGCAAGTCAGGTCGCGTTTCTATAACGCTGCGGCTAACATTCTGTCAAAAATTTACTAGGCGTCTAGGCTACGTTTCTAGTATCGAGACTATATTGTGTATATTGACTATATTGTGTGTTAACTGGACTATGTTGAACTGTCAAGCTTTCGTTCGGTAGTGATGCAACTACCTGAAAATATATAAGGAGAATTTCGACGTTTCGAGCGAGGCCCTTCGTCTGGAGTTTTTCTCAGTTAACTTCGTCTGGAGTTGCCTACTAACTACGGACTACTATATTTGCCACTCTGAATACAAATAAATTTCGTTAAAATTCACTGCGTTTCTTAGTATTGTGTTTACACTATATTAACGGAGTGGTTTGCCGCAGCGTATTAGTACGGACCACTACGTTTGCCACTCCAGATGCAAAACACTACGCTACGGGTAAATTTGCCGTAGCGTCATAGTGCATGTAAACGCGGCCTTTATACAACACAGAAACACAGTCCGAAGATTGGCATTTTAATTAACACAAGGCAAGTGAATGAGTATGCTTTTTTCGCTTACCTAATATCCTTGGCTTGTCCGATCCTCTACCAACTTGTTCAAGTGCAATTTGAATACAGTATAATTTGTGGCCCTTGTGCGATCTAGTTTATGTATTTTGCAGCACTTCAACTTCGATTTGAGTCAGGTGCCGGTTGAACCAGTGAGTTGAACGCTTCCGGTTTTCTTCGAAAAACAATGTTGGATTTTCAGTCGTGGAATATGTTCAGACACATCGCACAGTTTGTTCCGGTTAGGAGACTTTTACTGCTTATTAATATTTAAATGTCAATTATTGTTTATATAGCACATCAATGTGAAATACAATAAGGTCCGTTTCATACGCCGTATTTCAAATCAAGCACACGGCATTTGTGTGAATTCAGTACAGCAGTTCATTCATACGGCGCATTTTATTCCACGAATTTTCAGTACGGTGATTGGATTACTTAAAACCGTAGTGTGTTTTAAAAAACTAATTGAAGAATATTGTACATGGAAATTGTCGAGTGGAAATTTATATTCATTAATTAGATTTAACCAGGGACAGCTGCAAAAAACGCAACTTTAGGTCCCCGGAACTTTAGGAACCTGTACATATATACATTACTAGCCACTAGGGTACCGCCATGTTAGGTTATGGATAAAGTATCAAAATTTTGTTGAGATGCCAACAAAATCTTGATATTTACCCATAACCTAACACGGGCGGTACCTAGTATATATATACATGAACTTGTGGTTAGAGCTCGACAACTGGTCCTTCATGTAGCTCAGTTGGTTAGAGCGCTGCAGAAAGAACCTATAGTTGCATTTTTTGCAGCTGTTCATGGTTAGATCTAATAAATGTATAAATTTCCACTTGATAATTTCCATCTACAAGAACCTTCAATTATTATTCAATCGAGTGAAATGCCAACAAAATCTTGATATTTAAAAAGCTAACAATTTTACTAAATTATATGCTTTTAGTCGGCATATAAGAAGCACGCGCGCACGTCGTCTGAAACAAGTCTCAGACGCCAAACTTTTACCGTACCTAGTTCTTGAATGGAATTATATTTGGTTTATTACGATGATTATAAAAGTAGGGTCAAAATAGACAGAATTCGAATAGACATGAACTGAGGGGATGATCTATTAGGCGCGGGTAAAAGGAGTGGGCATATAATTAAAAAGAATTGGGTAATTTCTCAGAAAGTACTGATATAACACTAATAACAAACATACAGTATCAAATTTACAAAAATTAAAAAGCCTGGATATCTACGCCACCATATCTATCTACGTATGTCTACGTCACAATCACTTGATGAGCAAAAAATTCGGAAAACCCATTACATTTCTGAGAATGATTTTTGGGAAGAGTTACCTTTAGTATTAACTGAATTCGATCATTGGTAACGAGTAAGGTAAGCATTGGAAAAAAGCACTCGTGTCAATGATTGGACTTTTTCTAAAATGAAAAGAGTTGTGTAAACAGTATCATGTAAATTCTTCTATATATTAATATTTGTCGAATGCCTGAAGAACATATGAACTTCTGCAGAATATTCTGAAATTTTCGCTAATACATCAGCGATTTCGGACAGATTGAAACTATATAGGTTCCTTGTGCAAGAATGTAAAGCAGACAACTGAGAAATCGTAGCGAATCTTCTATAAACGGTAGGAGAAACTGTCAATAAAAAATTCGATTTTAATTCAAGAAAAAGAATAACCAAAACAATTCCCCGATATGCATGATATCAATGTTGCAGGAAAGAACAACATGACGGCGTTTATGGTATAGGATTACTGTCCGCGGGTCAGAGGTAGCCTGCGTGGCAGGCTCATCAATGGGCCTAGCTGCCAAGCAGGCTAGGTCAGAGGTAAGGAGCCAACTATTAATGTCAACATAAATTTCACCTTGAGTAAACTTCATCAAAGAGCTTAGAAACGACTTGGTTTTCTCATTCAGTTTTCTGTAATTTGCCTGATTTCCAGCGGCGAATTAGCCTGCCCGACTATTTGGCCATGCTATGCAAATTTTAAATCATAATCACTATTCATTTCTTTAGAAATTGATTGTTTTCACGGTTTATGAACACGGACATATTTGCATAGCATGACCAAATTGTCGGGCAGGCTTCGCCAATGCTGATTTCTATACTCGATGAGGCCAAGAGACTATTTGTCCGCAATATCAATATAAGGCAATCTGCAATCATATCCAATAAGCAAATGTGATTTTATAAATTTTACATTCTCTTAATTCCTAAAACTATGTATATGCAAAATTCCAAATTGAGAGCCCTGCATGGGTTTCGTTAATTAACATGGAATAATAATGAAAACCGGAAACGGGTAACCGCACCCTGCACCAAAACTGAAGCGTGGCAAAATATAGAAACATTAGAAAGTATATAAAGTACAGTATATTACAATTTCAGCGTGGTAAATTGCTGTATCAAATTCTATTTTCACGAGTTGGTCAACATTGGAACGCCATGAAGAATATTAGGTGAGTCAAAAGCAATTGAAATCATGCCTATGTATCAGATAAATATCAGTGTATTAAAGCAAACAAATCACAACCCAAAGAAATGCAATGAACTTTGCGAGATACCATATAAAAGACATTTGGCTCGAATATGCGCAAAGCAGAAAGCCTTTGCGCATAATTCGCTCGGTCGTCGCTTAGATTAAATTCACCAGTGTGCGACCTATCAGGCATTTGATTCGAATGGCCCAAAAGCGATACGGCGACAAAAGAATGGCTTGTCAAATGAGCCGTCTGATAAATAATCTGCCTTCGTGTAAAATAGCTTGGTGTATATGCTGGCAATGTTTCTAGGAACAAAGTAATAAAATGATGTCTGATATATTTTCTGGTGTATATATATGTTTGGTAGTATGACTAAACAGTAAAGGTACATTTCAAGGAGCGAGCGCTTTTAGCAGAACTTAGCCAGTGTTGTGGAAACGGGCAAAATTGCCGCAAAAATGATGATATTTTCATCATAATTGTATATGAGGTCTCAGCAGTTAAATGCGAAAGCAAATTAAGCAAGCTTTTTTCAGGAATCTCCCTGATTTATATTACACACGGGTCATATGTCAAGATGCATCACTTGTCTGATCACAGGTCTGATGGGTCAGCCGTCTTCATGAAAATTCATGGAAAATGAACTACACTCGACGAATTCAGCACGAATAGCGTGATCAACAATATCTTTACTGGCAATGGCCCTCGGTCTGCTGTTTTTTTGTGGCCATTTAATTGTTTTTATCCTAATAATATCAGGCTGATATCCCGCTAGCTTCGGTGGGACGAAATATGCAAACATGGCATGTTTCCGAATTTCTACGCAAACAGCTCATCTTGAGCGATGATCGTCTGATTGCTGCGTTTGCACACAGGTTAAATATCGGACGAACTATCTTTTTTGTCCCTAGTTCGCACAAAAGAATGATTCACTTCCAGAATGAATAACAAAAATACGTCGTCCTTTTAGAATCCTAAACCTGTGTATCTATTATTCTACTCTGTCCACGTACAACTTGCGCAATATATAGAGAATAATACATGATGTGTTAACATGATATCTCACATGTGAGATTATCACTCAATATCAGTTTCAATCAGTGCTCGAAATCTCTATATTAAAAGCAGTAAAGCACTATTGTTAATTAATGGTGGGTTACTTAATACTTATCTGCGAATGTATAGCTAAATGCTTGCCTTTATGTATCACTTGTGGGTTTCAATTACCGCACAAGTTTTTATACGACAACTTTTATTTGCTTGTCTGTATTTAGACAACTTTGCTGGCATACTAGACTATATAGCATACAACTTAGCTTGTCAACTGGCATACTGGCTTTTGAATAAGTGCACCTGTCATATAGAAAAAAAATTGGCAAAGTACAAATTTTTCCTCGTCTGTATCGGTCAAAACAAAGAAAATGTAACTTGGGTCCTTAATGTAGTTGGATAATGGATAACGTTACATTCATTGTGGTAACCAAACCAAAAAATTGTAATACATTTTTACTGCGCGTACACACGAGCAATACTAGATCCCCCTTATTACGTTTTCGTCGCGCTTTGCATTGTGGTTATCAAGTGGTATCACTGATAAAGATAGCGGCCTTGAATGAAAATATTGAATGTTTTCGCGAATATTTTGCTGTTGGCTATCGCGCACCTGACCCTAGCTTTTTTAAAAGTTCTTGCAAGGGTCAGGACAAAAAATAAACCATCTTGAACGTCAGTGATACCACTATAACCACAATGCAAAGCGCTACGAAAACATAATAAGGGGAATCGTCAATTGACAAATTAAACTTGCTCTGTTTATAAAAACTTGTCATAAAGAGTAGCTCATCTGTGTAACCCTACTGCGTGATCATGTCAACCACGTTACTGACATCAAGACGAATGGCAGTTGATCATAACATAAAGCTAGCTGAAACCACAGTTTCGGCTGAGACTTTTCAAACAAGATTATGTTAGGTGGATTATTAAACACACGTTTGATAATATCCAACCTAACATATAATTTGGTTAATTAACCAGGACTTTGATCAAATAACCAGGATTGTGGTTAAACTGATTAACCAGTAAATATAACCAGGTACGTTAAGATACCACATAGTCTATTAAGATATGATGGTCTGGAAGCCCGCCAAACTTCAAAGCCACAAAATAGAAGACCTTTGTTTGATGTTGAACTGTACCTCACCCTGCACAAATCCTTTGTCTCAACTTCATTAAATATTATTCATCGTGGTTGCACGTTTCATCTCAGCTACCCCTATAGGCAATTCCAGCTTTTAGTTTACGCGTGCAGGGGACGATGGGAAAAAGTCCCTGCGACGGAGGTTGGGTATCATATTGCTGATAAGCTGAAAAAATAAAAATGGTGGCCGTGTAAACACGGAGCTTACACTTGTAAATATTGAAATATTTCGGTTGTTTCGGTAGTTCTTATTGAAATTTTTCAGCATAATCAGCAATATGATACCTTACTTCCCATCACCCTCTGCAGGCATAAACTAAAAGCTGGAATTGCCTATTAGACGATTATTTCATTATACGAAAATACAATGAGCTCAATCACCGCGACCGTGCACAAATTAACATAAACTCCGACAAAAACATAACAAACACTTCAGGTACCCCAAACAGTGTTAATTGTAGAATAAGGAACCAGGAAATTTTTAACCGGGGTGTTTTTAGTGGTTTTTTTTGTGGTTAGATGGGTAGGCACTGCCGCATTATTTGGAATGCTCTCTGCAAACATCATCACTTTCAATTTTAGGTGGTCGAGGAAAGACACATAGGATGTAGAAAATGGTATTCTAAGTTTGGCCGTTTCATGTCATCATCTATTTAAACGCAAGTGCTACTGCTGTGGCTCCTTTTATTCTAGCTGGTAATTGCTAATGGCTGAGCACTGTGAGGAAGGTAGGCCGATTAGAACAGAAAATAACATGGCTCAAATTAGACCTTTCCGGTAATTACGTCACAACTACACTGTTTTCAACTTAGGACAACCTTAAATGGAATATATTTCAAGTTTGTTTCTCAAGGGCTATGCACATAGAAGCAGAACATCCTTCGTCAGCACATGCATAGAAATGGATTTTGACTATTAAATGTGGAAATAAGCTTAAGGTGGCTCCCTAGGGTTTTTTAATTTACTACACTATAGTATTCAGGAGACTCTTTGTTTCTTTACTTTACATGATATGAAGACGAAATTTATTGGACACATTGACAATGTTCTCCTGAACATTGCAAATTGCTACTTTTGTGTTAAAAATATGTTGTCATGGCAACAGCATGCTTAGAATAAAGCTCAAAATTTGTCTTTTTCAGGTCATTTTAAAAAGTTCCTTCGGTGAAATTTTTTAAAACTTTGCATAAAAGATAATACTTGTATAATGAATTTTTCTCCTCAATTTAAAAAAATTAAATCGATACGTTTCTTAGAAAATTTAAAAAACGTCAAAAATCTATATTAAAAAGTTTCCCTTCGATTTAATTTTAAGAAAAAAGGATATTGCACTTGTTGTACCGATATTAAAAAATGTGCAAAGTTTTAAAAAATTTTACCGAAGGAAAACGGAGAAATTTGGGATTAATTTTGGCAATTTTTACTAGATTTTTACGCGAACAATTTAATACCCCAACTGACGTGTACATGCATTCTGCATAAAACAACAAGGCATGACTTTTTTGAAATCACAAAATATAAATTATGTTTGATATACTGTTTATAACTGTATCGGTTAATGGTCAACTACGCGTGGATTATACATGTAAAAATGGCAAAGATATTTAGGTAACTACTGGTTATGACTTCTTGGTATTAATTTGAAAAATGTTTGTCAAAATTCGTCCCGTGCGAGTACTATCGTCGGATGTTTTCGCAAAATGCCCGTTCAAATTTCAGTTTTTATAGCGGTATGTTTGGAGTTTCGGCCCTACTCATTTCACCCGTAGAGGGCTCTTTATTTAAGTCATCTTTATTGTCATAAGCGCTGCTAGATTGTGGAGAAAACACTGCAAATTCTTGAGTAAACTTTATATCCCAATGTTCACGATCGAACCTCGCGTACGGCGGTTCAAAAAACATCCAGAATACCGCTTGAAAACAAACAAGTTTACATTATCTTCTTTTGAAACATCACATCCAAGTATCGTTTTGGCTTTTAGAACTCTTTTATGCTTTCAACTAAAGCAAAGTTCACACTTTTGTTTCAAAAAAGAGTTTCATATAAAACACAACGTTCGTTCGTATTTTGAAGTCACACGAGTTTTAGTTTACATATATACGAAGAACGTAACCCCCGGAAATAAAACCCTAGGGAGCCACCTTAAATACGAAAACGAGGCTAAGGGGCCTTGAATTATTGATTATCATAATGCACACACGAGAGTACACGCAAAAAAGCGCAAAAAAGAAACCAATAAAAAAATCGCGGGAAACAGAAACGGCAACTTCAAAGAAGACGTGATCATCAACGTACAATAGAATTTTACTCTAAGACAAAAAGGCGACTATAAATTGTATTCCCTTCAGCATTCTAGTACGCCGCAGTTATTCAAACTGCCGCCGCAGTTATTCAAACTGCTACGTTATTTTCATCATTTTCACGACTCATGATCATGTCAACAGTTAAAACGTTCCAAGTCGTGTGGGGTATTTTATGCGAATTCACTGACTATTGTTACTTAAGGGTTGTTTGAAACTTGAAAGAAAGCTACGACGTGTTTTTGAGAGGCAAAAAAGTTTAGTAATGCATGCTGTGGCTCGCATGCAAAGTAATTTTGTTTTTCCCGTTGCCGTTGTCGTTTGCCAAATTCTCTATTTATTCCCTTTAAAACCTATCCTGGATTCCAGTAAATAATAAATAATAAATAACTCAGTAAATAATAAATTGAAACGTCGTGAAGGCTCTGGTTCAACGGGAGGATTCTTTGATTAAACCGCGTCAATCACAAAACAGAATTAGTGGTTTTAGTACAGAATCTGTACTAAAACCACTAATTTTGATCTTGTCACGAGAAAGAAAAGTAACGGACTAAAACCACTAATTCTGTTTTGTAATTGACGCGGTTTAATCAAAGAATCCTCCCGTTGAACCAGAGAATCCTCCCGTTGAACCAAAGAATCCTCCCGTTGAACCTACAGTGGTGTACTAAAACCACTAATTCTGTTTTGTGATTGGCGCGGTTTAATCAAAGAATCCTCCCGTTGAACCAGAGCCTTCACGACGTTTCAATTTATTATTTACTGAAGGCTCTGGAATCCAGGGTATTTAAAACCTCACTAAATTGAGGAAATTAGAAAGGTTCAGATTTGATTTCCACTACGCTACCACTGAGGGACCATTAACCAATCGCATGCGTTTGTTATATCCGATTAACCAATCAAATGCGTACTAAGCCAGTGAGAGGTAGTGGAAGTCAAGTCGGAATCTTCTCTACTTGTGCTCCCATTAAGCCTTGCTCGCTTAGGGTTTAAAGTTTAAGGTTTAGAGTTTAAGGTTTGCAAAGGACAAGCTTTTTGAAGGTAATATTCATGGGTGTGTGAACTTGTCTTTTTCCGACAGAACTGTTTGAACAAACAGGACAGTATGAACCAATTACCACTCGGATTCGAAATATACTTCGAGAGTACAAAGATGGCGTTGGTGTTTTCAAAGAGCTGATCCAAAATGCAGACGATGCAGGTGCTACTACAGTTAAGTTTTTGGTGGATTGGAGAAAGGGTGAAACGGGAAGCCTGTTCTCTCCTGGCATGGCCGAATGTCAAGGTCCAGCTTTATGGGCTTACAATGATGCTGTGTTTAGTGACGAAGATTTTGAAAATATCAACAAGCTAGCTGGAGAAACGAAAGTGGAAGATATTTCAAAGATTGGTCGCTTTGGTCTTGGGTTTAACGGTGTCTATCACTTCACTGATGTACCGAGTTTTATCAGCCGAGAGCACTTGGTGGTTCTCGATCCGAATATTCACCATTTGAAACGTCACATTAAGGACAGGTCCCGTCCTGGAATTCGTATTAATCTTTCAACCAAACCAGAATCGTTCACGCGTTACCACGATCAATTTCAACCGTACAATGGCGTCTTTGGTTGCAACGCTATGGAAACAAGTGATGGCTTTCACTATAAGGGAACATTGTTCCGATTTCCATTCCGCACGGCTTCTCAAGCAAGTAGTAGTGATATCTGCAAAACTGCCTATGGTCGAGATAGGATTGAAGCTATTGTTAGTAGCCTTTGTGAATGTGCTTCGACTTTGCTGATCTTTTCCCAACATATCAAGGAAGTGGACGTCTATGAATTGGATGGATCGAGTCAACCAGATGAAATGCAGTTGGTGTTATCTGTAAACAAACCAAGCGTTCAACCCTTTAGACGAAAAGTGGTGAACAACGAAGAACCTTTTATTAAGCAGTGCTCAAAGTGGTGGGCAAAGTATCGTGAATCTCAAATGCTCAGCTGTGAATTCCCATCTGGCTGTGAGCTCGTTAACATTGTCACCACGAAGGAACCGTCAGAGTTGAGTCGATGTGATCGTAGATACAGCAGTGATCAAATGTGGTTTGTGGTTTCCGCAAGTGGGACTGATGCTTCCCTCAAAATTGCTCGCTCACCTAAGGGGCGAGCACGTGGCTTCTTACCCTGTGGCGGGGCAGCGTTTGTTATTCAGAGAGAGTCCGAGCGAGGTTCCTGGGAATCGTCTGTCGCTTCACATTTTTCTGGGGAGCTGTTTTGTTTCCTTCCGTTATCTATTCCTACCGGGCTGCCTGTGCATGTGAATGGCTACTTTGCTATCATGTCTAATCGCGTTGGGATTTGGAAACGAACGAATATACGAACTCAGCCTATCGAGGTGGAATGGAATGAAGCACTCATGGAAGACGCATTGGCCAGAGCTTATATCATGCTTCTCGAAAATATGAAAGAATTGGTTGCTAATGTTCAGGATTACAAATTCCACACATTGTGGCCAAGTATTGACGCTGTTGACATGCAATCCTGGGAGAAGTTGATCCAGAAAATATGCAGTGTATTGTTAGATCCGAAGTCTAAGCTATTTTACAGCGATGGAATATGGATGAGTATCAACGATGGTTTCTTGTTGAGCGACGATTTTAACGAGATCTACGAGACCGCAGTAGAAGTATTAAAATCATTAGGGATACATGTTTTTAACCTACCCAGTAACATTTTACAAACCTTGATGAAGTTCGACCGATGGGACATTTTACAACGACGCACTTTGACCTTTACAGAATTTGTAAAACAATACTTCTTCCCAAAGCTCAAAACCTTCACTCATACTCAACGAGATGCTATCGTTTGGTTTGGTTTGGATCGTATCTTGAAAGAGAATGAATCGTCTCTCCTTGGTCTCTTCAAACAAAATTCTTATATTTCAGTGTCACAAAATGAGGAAATCCTTAAGAAGCCTTGTGAACTCATCCATCCGTTCGGTCCTGCAGCAGAATTGTTTTCTGAAGAAGATCGCCGTTTTCCAGTTGGGAGTGGCCTCCGTGATGGAAACCGGCTGTATGTCTTGGAAACACTTGGTATGGTCAAAGATCTGGATTGGACAGGAATCCTCGAAAGAGCTCAGTCGATCGCTAATCGTGATTTTCATGCTAAAACTGAACGTTCTCGAAAATTAATCGGATACATGAACAAGCGAATATATCAACTTCCGAGTCCCGGTTATTATTATAGCAGTCATTTTCAATTGGTAAAGTTCTTGCCAGTGTTAAGGAAGCCGGCAGGTGAATACTTTTTACCATGGAAAGGATGGAATTGTTTTTTGAACTGTCTTTTTAGCCCAAATGATGTTTTCCTGCCAAAGGATGCCGAGCTCTGCGGTTCTTCATGTTTAATCGTAAACACATGTAACAAAACTGGATGTGGAAAGCTGAATGACGAAGTGAAAAATCTCTTGGGATTTTCGAAACGCCTGCCTAAAGACAAGCTCGTGATTCGACAGTTAGACGAAGCTATCAAATTTTGGAGCAAATTATCTGAAGAAGAAAAGCAAGAAACTGCAAAGAGGTTCGCAATTGAATCTATCTGCAAGAAAATTTACGAATTCTTTAACAAACGAGTTGCTGATAAAGCAAAAAATCAATGTTCCCAGCTGGGGGAACGAAATTGGTTGTTTCTTGAAGGAAAATTCGTGCAAAGCAAGAAGGTGGCTTATACGTCGAACGGGAATGGAGCTCCATTTTTATTCACATTACCCTGGAACTACGTGTGTGACTATCGACATCTCTTTGAAGCGATGCATATCAAAAAAACATTTGATAATAAAGACTACATCAGTGCTCTTTATGAACTAAAAAGCACGAAGAAAGATTGTTCTCTCACAGAAGATGAACTTCAGATTGCAATCTTTTTCATCACTCAAATTAATGTCGAAAATCCCACTCTGAAGAACTACTTTGGCAACATTCCACTGCCGGACACCAACGGTATTTTCCGCCGAAGCCAAGATGTTGTTGTAAATTTAAGTTTGTGGTTCAAAGATCCTGATGACAATCTTAAAGTCCACGAGAAGATACCACCACAAACGGCACAAGCCCTGGGCGCTAAACCGTTAAAAAATGTTATACTGAAGAAGTGTTCACATCGCATTGGCTATGGAGAGTCGTTCGGACAATACGAGGAGTTAACTGACCGACTGAAAGGAATTCTAGATGGATATCCTCCTGACGGAATACTAAAAGAACTCGTACAAAACGCTGACGATGCTGAAGCCTCAGAGATACATTTCATACACGATACTCGGTCTCTGGGATGTGAAAAAGTGGCGATAGAAAACAAAACATGCGAAGAAATACAAGGACCAGCGCTTTGCGTGTACAATGATCAACCATTTACCGACGACGATCTCGAGGGAATTAAGAAACTTGGTATTGGAAGTAAACGCAAAACCATTGAGACGACTGGGAGGTATGGAATTGGTTTCAATTCAGTATACCACCTTACGGACTGTCCAAGCTTTCTATCGAATGATGAAACCCTAGTGATTCTTGATCCCCATCGTCGTTATGTCCTAGATGAAGATCCTGGCAAATTATTCAAGCTTACTGCAAAACTCCGAAATGATTGCTCCGATACAATCGATGGATATCTTGCTGACCATTTTAATTTACAAGGCTCGACAATGTTCCGTTTTCCACTGAGACGAGAAAAGAATGAATCAAAGATATCCAAAGAACCTCCTCCTGACATGGAGAAACTTATACAGACCTTTCAAAAAGAAGCCCGCAAGTCGTTGTTATTTTTAAATCATGTTAAGAAGATAACTCTGTCGAAAATTCATCCGAATGGCGAGTTTGAAGAAATATATCAGGTCGAGACCGTGATAGCTTCAGAGGATGAAAAGAAGCGTCAAGACATGGCACGAAAGATTTGTGAGCTTAAAAGCACTCCAACAGCAGAAATTAGATGGGAGGGAGCTAGTTACACCCTGACAGTCAAAGAGAACAAGAGAGAAGTCGAGAAATGGTTGATACAAAAGTGCATTGGATCAGTTACTGCAACGCTAAGCACCGCCGATGGGAAACAGGGTGAAATTGCCGATGGCCGCGAACTTGGTGTTCTTCCACGTGGTGGCTTGGCAGCTCAGCTATGGCCGCATTCATCATCCTCCGACATGCAAGAAGCGTTTGGTGGCATAGTATACTGTTTTCTACCTCTCCCAGAGAATTACACTAATCTACCAGTTCATGTCAATGGTCATTTTGTCTTGGATAGCACCAGACGACGTCTTTGGACCGACACGGATGGCACAGGACCAAAGTGTAAGTGGAATCACTTTATGAACACCTGTGTGTTACCACCGGCCTATGCCGCTTTGATCCTGGAAGCTCGTAACCATCTTTGCGATGATGAGGATGACAACCAACTGTCACGTTATCATGCTTTGTTCCCGAAAGATTTGAGTGATACTCCTTGGGAGACTCTTACCACTGAATTGTATCGTTACCTGGGGCAAACGAGAGCCAAAGTCTTGCCATTGCTCGTTCCAACCGAGTCTGAAAACCAATCAAGCAGTAGTATTCTAAAACAAGCTGCCGACAGTAGCTCTTCGACGCTTAGTGAGGAAAACATGGATACAGTGGATACCTCTGCACAACTGGAACCCGTTCATGTTACATGCACGGAATGGCTTTCAGCTGAGCAAGCATACTTCAAGATGCCTTTTTTAAAGGATAATTTTTTGCACTTGTTTATACGAATTGGCGTTCCTGTTCTGCTCCACGCTCCATACCTAATATACGAAGGTTTTAAATCAGCTGGTATAACTTCGCATAAAATTACTCCAAGAAGCGTTATTGATTTCCTAAGGCTAAGAGCATTCAAATGTAAGATTGGCAATCTTCCGAAAAAACTCGAAACCACTGCAGTCAAGTGTATTCCAGATTTGTCGACACTGATAAAGTATTGTTGTGAATATGACGATTTCAGTAAAAATTTGGCAGGCTTGCCTTTGCTTCTAACCCAAGATGGCTACCTAAGAGTCTTTGATTCACATCAGCCTGTGTTTCGTTCAGGATTTGGTGGTCTTTTTCCTGCACACCTGCACTTGTTTATTCACTCTGAAATATATAATAAAATTCCATTGAAAGCCACACAATCAGAAGAGAGGATCGTCCGCACATTAACTGTGAATGACCTACCAGAGTTAGTACGACACGTGTTCACAAATCAAGTGTTAAAGGCTATCGAAGATGATGTAACATGGAAATTCCCAGCCGAAGGAATTCTATCTGAAGAATGGTTCAAGCAGTTTTGGGACTTCTTGGAAAACCACACAAAGCCCGAGCCAGATGAAGATTCTGTGTCGTTAGAATGCCTGTCGGAATGGCCCGTGATTCCAACAACGTGTGGAAAACTTGTAATGATTAAAGACGCAAAAGTCGTCTTGGATATGACAGCTACTGGAAACGAGTCAGTATCACAAGAAGACGTTCGTACATTCTTGAGTAATCTGAAATGCCTAATGTTAAACAAAAAAATCACTTTCAAAGACAACCATTACTCGTATACGACTAGTACAATTCACACTCCCGAGGACAAAACCACAACCAATAAATTTGGACGGGAAACGGCCGTTACTGATGCCTATGTAGCACATCCACACGATGTTATAGACGTCTTGGTAGCTCTTAATCACATGCTAACTACAGACAGGCTGGACCTCTCAGTGATCAATGAAGACGAAATTCGTAACTTACTTACGTTCGTGCAAGACAATTACAAAATGCCGTGTTTATTGGAAGAGCATAAGCAGATAATAAAGCGTCTACCGTTTCATAAGGCATTGAATGGAGAGTTTGTCAGTTTGATTGGTCAGTATCGTTTGTGTGCTCTTATTCCTCCTGGCGTTCCCATAGAACAACTAGACGACCTTCAAGAGCGAACAAAATGTCTTTTTCTCAACTCTGATGCTTTGCCTGCACTTGAGAAACTCTATAAAGACCTTAATGTTACAGTTGGTCAAGACGTCACGCAATTTTACGTGGAGTATGTCTTCGGACATTTTAGCATTTTTACCAGAGAAAACCAAATGAAACATTTAACATACATTAGAGACAAAGTCTACCCGTTTTTGCCTCAAGGTACTTCAATTGAAAAAGACATATTCTTGAAGAGTATGGCACAAACACCGTGTATTCCTGACCAAGACGACTCTCTTCACAAAGCATCTGACTTCTTCGACCCGAACAACGAGGTATTCAAAGTAATGTATAATGGTGATAACAATAAATTCCCTCCTTCACCTTTCAACAAGGAAGATTGGTCAGGTCTGCTTGAAGATATTGGAATGCTTGTTGATATTACACCTCAGTTATTCCTGCAATTTTGTACGATGGTTGCCGAGAATGCAAGACGTTCTCCTAGTAATCAACAATGTCGCGTGCAATCCAAGGAGCTAGTAAAGTGTCTATTTGCCGATAAATCCTTAAAAGAAGAGAAATTTCTGTTCCAAGTATCGCAGATCGAGTTTATTGCTCCAGCTAAACTGGAAGAAGAGCTAACCTCGATACACGAACCATATCAGTATTCCAAAAACGGCTATCCACCTTTCATAAAATTCAGAAATGCAGTACCGTCGCGATTGAGATATGATACCTGGACAACTGCTCCCATACTCCCAGTGTGGGCACAACCTGACAATATGGCTAAATTTAGAAACCTTGGCATCGCCAGCTCCGGACCAACATATTCAAATGTTCTTGACCATCTACAAAACGTAGCTAAATCATACAATCTTGACTCAGTTGATAGTACTCTATTAAACAAAATCACCAAGTCCATTTACAAGTCTCTATGGAAATCTGCAACATGTTGTTGTCACAGTCCAAATGACGGATGCATTAATGTTTGTAAGAAAATTGGTGATCGACTAAAAAGTGTCCCATGCATATTTTTACAAAAAGAGGATATTTTTGTGAAAGGTGAACAGCTGGTGTTTAATCTACCCGATAAATGTGATTTGAAACCATTTCTTTATCTCGTACCACGAGAATTCGGAGAGTTGGAACATTTCCTAAAACGACTTGGCGCAACCGAAAGACCAACGCCTTACCAGATTGCTTGCGTTTTGAAATCTATATACAACCGAATCGGAGAAGAGGTACTATCGACTGAACTGGAGATGAAAGTCAAGTATGCTATGCATGTGCTATTTGAATTACTTTGCAGGGGCGAAAGTGCTGATGGAATCGATGAATTGTATTTACCAAGTCAAGATAAACAACTCGTCAAATCTTGCGAAATGGTTTGTCAAGTTTCATCACGTTATACGAATTTGACTGAAGACCTTCAACGTCCAATTCTGCTGCGATTCGAAGAGTGCAAACTTAAAAAGGTTGCTGATGATTATATTAATGCTCTACCAGCACATTTACGTCCTGTAAAGTTTGATGAGCTATTTCGAGAAGAGGTCGATCCCGAGTGCAAGATTTCCATCTGTTCTGAGGCTCAATATGGTTCCATATGCAACTTTCAACAACGGTATGAAGATCTGCTGGGATCTGATGAGTTCCAGGAAGGCCTTAAACGGTTACTGATGCACGATGGCCAAGATCCTCACGAATTTGAGGGAAGAATAAAGAAACTACAAACGGATGTTCAAACTAAGTGTACCGGCGAGGACAACATTAAGATCAATATTATCAATCGTGATACCAATAAAGTTATGGATAATTTAGAAGAAAGTTGTTATGCAGTTCAAGATAATCACGAAGACACATGGACGTTGTACATGCAACACGAATTTAAAGATAGTAAAACATTGGTGCCCATTGCTATTTGCGTTAACAAGATTCTGGGAAATTGTATACACAAGGAATCCGGGTTGATCGCAATGCTAGGCTGTTCAACTCCAAGTAAAATTTCACAGGAATTAGATAGATTTGGTATAACTCACGCGCTTTCTAAAACTGCTGATGAATTCATTCCTCCTGACGACTATCTATTTTCTGGATGGGATATACGTGGTGAAGAAAGTAGGATCGGAAGTGGAACGGGAGTACGTGGTCGCCGTGGTGGGTTTGGAGGATCTGGTTGGACGAGAGTGAATGCTGCTGGAAGCCATGGGACCAACCGGGGTATAGGTGGTGGTGCAAGTTTTAGTGATGGCGGTTATGGCGTTGGTTATCGTGGTGGTGGTTATCGTGGTGGTGGGGGTAGTGGTGGATATTCAAGGTAAAATATGTTTATTTTAGGTGTTACTACACATCGAAAATCCGAACGTCACACCCACAAACATTGACGACCACACTACAGTAACTACTTTGCATGTCTACAATTCTAATTTTAAACAACCAATCCGATTCTTAATCACAATTACTATAAAAATTTGATTGCCTGCTATGGCTGTCTAAAATGAGGGGTCATCAAACCTATTGATAATTAATACAACCGATGATTTCAATGATCCATTGGATGAACCAGACTTAAACAGGCATAACATTGGTACTACTACACCGATTCTAATAATCTTAGTGTCAAAATTCATCTCTTGGATTATATTTCCGAAGCACACTGTGTACAAATCTGGAAGAGAGCCACAACACCCTGTATAATGTTTCTTTCTTTTGTGTTCTGCTTATGAATCATTAAGTGCGCTTAAAAATGGTTTTCTTAGTCACAATAAGATTAAATCGACCAAGTTCATGGTATGCACTTTGCCGAAGCTAAAGTTTCCTTCCCATTTAGTGCACAACAGTAAACGTTTTAGGTTATGATTAAGGTATGGGTAAAATTCAGCGGTATAATATAGGTAGTAAGGATTGTTAGTATCAGGATTATGATTACGGAAAGATTATTGTGGGTAGAATCAGGATTAGGAATTAAAAATGGATTAGAAATGGTTTAAGGCTAAGGGATTGCTTTTAACTGTTTTTCAAATATCTGCCAGGATCAGAGATGAAGAGGAAGACGAAAGATTTTATCAAATGAACCGCGAGGAAGCAATCCGCTGGCTAGAACAATCCAAGAGTGACTTAAAAAGTTCAAGATGGTCACTCCAATCAGGTCCGCCTTTCAACGCCATGGCCTGTTTCCACAGCCACCAAGTAGTAGAGAAATGCTTAAAGGCCATGTTTTTTTACTACTGTGGGATCTCTGGTCAATTGCTTGGCTCTCATGAGGTGGAAGAACTGGCAGATGTGCTCAAGAAAGAAACAGGGCGACCGAACGAGGCAGTCATGGAATCGGTGAGAAAATTACCTAAGTACCGATATTATCTAGGTACTCGGTATCCTAACTGTCAACCATTTAACATCGTTCCAGCCGAAGCATTCGACAAGAATGAAGCAGAGATGGCGGTTGATGCAGCCACGAAAGTGCTTGGATATGTCAAGGACTGTTTGAAAGAGTAGTATAGTGGGTTTCAAAGGGACGGTTTTGACCACATAAAGAACATTTGCTTGTATTTTTAACTGACAAATTATCTTAACTGATCGCTGACAAATGATGAAATGGCAATTTGGAACAGAATAACTTTCAATATTGATGATGCGTTATAATATGACACTAATACAATAATCTTGTTAGACAGTGTTACTTGGCTAGGGTAAAATATGCCATGTTGCACATACTTATTGTCATGAACACTTTTATGATAACGACATGAACATTTTCATTTGAATCGCTACTTTACTTTGCGATTACATTTTCGATGACTTTCAAGACGTTAACTAAAATTAAAAGATAAGGAACTAAATGAACTAGACCGTAAATCCTCTACATGTCCCTACGGCAAATTAATGTGAACTTTCAGGCAAATTAAAAAATCTAATCAAAATACACATGTGTTTCTTAATAACAGAGAGAGAGAAGTAATAAGTTTCTTCCTCTAAACAGGGGGACTTATTTGGAAAGCGGACTTTTCGCATAAACGAATTAGCTGAGAGAGGAGCCCTGGACTCTGCCCCCCTTGGCGAAATTGCCCCCATCTCTTGGAATAATCAAGACCAGTACAAACTACAAAGCATGTGCATAACATTTTCATTATTTATAATGTATGTTTTAAACTCTCAGTTTTTTAATGTCTTGGATCGTGTGTTAAATGTTGATTTAAAATCACCAAAACCCGATAAACCCCAAACTATTTTCGAACTAGCGCCATGTAAAATTTCTTCGGCCGGCATGGTAGAGGGTTTGCGGTAATCAAATAAAAAATTGCACATATACCTTGAATAGGAAATGGTCCGTAGCAGAATAGGGGATAGAGTAGTGCATAAGGTTTTAGATAAATTTATCTCAACGACATATATTATGGTACCTACAATCATGGCAAAAATGATGTACACAATTAGCTGAAAACTAAAATGATTGCATGCCCATGTTGGTAACCACGCACCCCCGTGCAATGGTGATTTTGATAATGCATCGGCACAAAGTTTTACCTTAACATTGGTATTAGCACTTCACCAGGGGGGGGGGGTGCTAAAAGCTGTTTTTGCACGTGATAGGGCAAAGCATGTATTTTCATTCTTCCCACGCGTTGTCCACAATAATTTTTGCCACGATTATAGGTATATACCTACTATCTAATGTGAACACGTTTTCTGATTGCTTTTCTGAAACGAAAGTGATCAGCGGTTTACGGTTCGCTCTGGAAAGATGATTTCTATACCGTATTTACTCGTTTGAGCGCCGCGGCGCTCTTTAAATTTTCAGAGCTTCAGATGCGGCGCTCATTCGGGGGCGGCGCAACCTCGTTCCCAGGGCTTTTCCTTTTTGTCATTGGCAAAGCCCTGGGAACGAGGTTGGGGGGCGGCGCTCTTTAAAAAAAATTATTTGTGAATTATAACAAGAACTTTTAACAATAAAAAAAAAACAAGTTTTGCATGTCTTTGTCACTATTTTGACGGCGGAAAGTTTTTACACTGTTTAATGCGGCGCCCATTCGGGGGCGGAGCTCAATCGGGGGCAGCGCTCAATCGAGTAAATACGGTCATTTTTTGTCGGTTAAGTGTCATTGAAAATGGCATTAATAATTGATGAAGAAAATTCAAAAGTGATGAACTATAAAGATTTCGCCCTGATTTATACATAAATTTTAGTTACGATTTTCTCGGTTATTAAAACGAACCAATTTCCAAAATTATTGGTAAACTTGATTACTTAGTAATCCAGAAAGGCTGTACATATATGAACAGGTCAAGACCAGGTCGTATTGTGATAGTAAATACCTGATGAACTATATTTCATCCAGTCGTATAGGAGTCGTTTACATGATCCCAGTTTGCCGAGACGAGCTATGAGGCGGGCTAATTTCGATGCATTGAAATAAGTCATAGTGCATGATTCAGCAAAACTCATTATTTTCCTAGAAATAGATTATAGTATAGTAGCAAACAAAAAGTTGTTCAAGCAGGAATAATAATCTTCTTGAACTACAAGATGTTCTCGAAAACATTTCAGTTCTTGTAACCGACGTTTGAAAACTTTCGTTTAAGTCTAGTGACTTGTTTCAATACATCAAAATCATCCCGCCTTCCATGCCGTCCTGCGATCATGAACAGGGATCATGCCCCTTTGGAATGGATAAAAAATTTCCAGTCTTACAACTGGGTCAAAATCAACTTAGTCCTAGGATTGGACCAAAATTAATTCAGTCTCAGGACCTTTGTGAATCGTGTAATTCATTCATTCTTCCATTTAATTGAAGAATTTTTAATATACACAAGTATAGAGTAATATGTGTAACATTTAAGTACACAAAATTTAAATTCTTGGCAGGTGTCTTTTTGGATCTTCAAGTTATTAATAATTCTTACGTAACTGTATTGATAATATATTGTATGTATTATTGATCCAAATTAATTTTTGAAATTTAAGAGAGTTAAATTAAATTAATTCACTACACTCTCAGTGTAACCCGGATAAATAATTACGGCACCTGTGCCAAATTTATAGCTGATAAGACGATGCCTATATAACTTTAAGAAGAAGCATGGTTTTATATTTTCTCAATAAAAGTGTTGTTTTATAAAATACACTGATAAAAGCGCACTACAATCGTGTATTTTCATGGATTTATACCAAAGATAACATTATAGCAATAATTTGGGAGAGTGTTTAATTTCCAAACCTCAAATTCGGACTGAGAGGGGATTTCAAGTCCTCACACTCAGCTGGAACTGCTCGTACTTGAAAATCCGTTCCGGTCTGAATTTTGGGATTCGAACATGACATAATGGAAGGGTTTTACAAAGCACTATCGTGCAGCATGCTGATAAACCGGCAGTTACCAGGACCTTAGTAGAACGATATTCTTTACAACTACATATTCAGTGCAGAATATTTAAGTTAACTGATTCACGAGAGATATAAGAGTGTTATTTAATTTTGACTGGCTTGATACAACGGGCTTGATACAATCGGCCCCAGAGTGAGAAAGTGATTTAAACTTATTCCATTATATGCAGTAGTCTTGTATTTGGATGGGAATAAATAGAACTCGGAGATGTTAATGATTTTTATTTTTTTGCTTATAGATGTCAACATTTCCGTTTAAGCGTTTACCAACATCTGTTGCCGCATAACGCTAATTAACTGAAAATGACCTACACAGTGTCATAGAACAAACAGGATAACTGACCACCTTGGAAAGATTATATAAAGTGTACTAAGAGCAACTAATAATGCTACATTGTACATGTTTAAATGAGTAAATTGAGTTAATTAGAACAATGTTTCTCACTTGTTAGTTTGAATGTGAGAGAGCTAAATATAGTGTGATCTCAACAAGAGAGTATTTAAGATTAAGCAGTCGTCCTCGTTAGAATGATTATATTATGTTGTGCTGATCAAGTACATCTCATTTTGGACATATTACACGATGTGTGAACTATAGACTAAGATAAAAAGTACTAAATTAATTTTTGAAATATTTGTATAATAATGACAGCTGTTTATTTTGAAACGATTATTTAATGTTATGCTGTTCTGGTGCATTTGATTTTTGGACAGTTTAATAACAGTTTCGTCTTACACAATCTCTGCAATGAATCCTCTCCTTGCTTCTTTCATTGAAGGAAGTTTACTCCATTTAGAAGTTTTGAAGTCAAATGCTTCCACTGAGCTTAGAGGAGTTCCATCTTGGCCGTATCCTCCCATAACCACTATAGAGTGTCCATCCACAACTGCACAACATTCAAAACGGCCGTGCTTCATTGGTGGTAGCATGGTGCTCTTCTGTGTCTCGGTATTATAACTGACGACTGTCTTTTTTGCATTTACAAGGATAGGTTCATTTGACCCTCCAGCTAGAATGACATTTTCTCCGCACTTGACAGTTGCCATATTGCACACTTTGTAAGGCAATGGTGCAAGTTCCTTGAACTCATTTTTGGTTATGTCGTACATGGTGACTTTGGCAGTCACTTCATCCCAACCGTCACCACCACCAAATATCAAAATTTTGTCATTGCTCAGAACAACACCACAGCCTTCGATGAGTCTTGGGGAAGGCAGTTTAGCCAAAACCTTTGTATTAAAAGGAAAATGTAGTTGGATTTCGTAAATCATATCAGAATACATTTTTTTCTCTTCATCATAACCGCCAATAACAAACATCCTATCATGATATAGTACAGTACGATGTTCTTTCAGCGTTCGGGGCAAATTAACTGAGAAATTGGACCAACAAGGTGGGACAAGGGGATTGGCATTGCGACTAAACTGCTCTATACTACTGAGAATGTTATTGTTAGCAGAGGTACCTCCTCAAGAAAATTATGTCGATATATGAGTTGTAGATGAATTATCAAGAATTTTATGATTCAAATTTTTCACTTGGGTGGTTAATTCGCGTTTGTAAATTGTGTGACTTTAATTTCGCGATTTTTTACAATAGCGAAAATCGCGAAATTAAAGTCGCGCAAAATGAAGTACGAATATAAATGTATACACAGTTGAAATATCACAAGATCATTGGCTTGCTCCTATAGTCCTATGTTGTGCCAATACATTCGAAATTGACCACCATTTGTAGAACTATATAACGAATTGTGACGTACCTATGCAAGCATGTAATATCAAGAAACTCGACGAGACATTATTGAGCAATTCTTCACGACCTTTAAATCCGTAAAAAGTTTGGTTCCTTATACGTTCTTTACAAGCACCAATATCTTCTAGCCTGAATACTGCACCAAGTCGCAGTATTTTTTAGATATTAAACGTGAACAAGCAAATTCCTCTTTTATATGTTTTGCAGATGTTTTGTGTCGAGTCTTCGCTGAGACATATAATATATTTGCATACAGCAGACTACTAACACTGTACCGAATTCAATTAAAATAGGAAATAGTGTGACGGTTTCAAGTATCATGTGGCAATGATTGATTGGTTAATCTCAAGAATTTTAAGGAGTATAAAGGATTTATAATTGCGACACTGTGTATGTATATGCAAATATGCTGCAGAGAATAGCGGAAGTCAAGACAAACTCAAGACAAAACATTTGTTGAAATATATCGAAATCCATCTCAACAAATTCTTAAATATTGTGATTTGGTGCAGTATTAAGGCTACAACATATTACTGTCTTCAAGAGATGTAAGAAAGAACACATTTTCACGGATTTTGGGATTGGAAGTTTCGAGAAATATCGCTCAATTTTGACTCGATGAGTTTGTTGATATTAAATGTCGGAATGGGTAGGTCTCAGTTAATTCTTATATATACAGCTAATTCAAGAAAGGTTGTCCTTTGCAAACCTTAAACTCTAAGCGTGCAAAGCATAATGGGAGCATCATTTAATCAGTTCGGAAATCATATATGGGGCCCATTTCTTAGAGACATGGTAAATATCTCCTCACGAGAACAATTCATTCACAAATAGCTGCAATACTTGTGCTACCATTAAGCTTTGCGCGCTTGGAATTTAGGGTTTAAAGTTTAAGGTTTGCAAAGGCAGCATGAGCTCCACCCTTGAATTTACTATACGAGTAAATTCTTAAACACGTCCGAATTTATCATTATGATAAATTCGCGGCACATTTTCAATTCATCATAATGATAAATTCGCGGCCCCTAACACTAACCACTAACTTTTTTAACTTTTTAACTTTCTTAACTTTTTAAACTTTTTTTTCTTTTTCAAACCTTTTTCAAACTTTTTTAAACTTTTTTTCGAAAATCTCCCCAACCCTGCGCGACCAGCCTCCCTTTTAGTGACATTACACTTATAACTAAAAGTCTTGTCTAATGCTTGTGGTTTTACTGATTAACTCTATTGATAAATTCAAAATGTGCCGCGAATTTATCATAATGATAAATTCGGACGTGTTTAAGAATTTACTCATATAGTAAATTCAAAGGTGGAGCTCATGTTGGCAAAGGACACCCTTTTTTGAATTGGCTGTATAGTGCTACAGATCGGATGGTCAATTTCAAACTTATTGACACTAGATTGGACTAGAGAACGAGCCAAATCATCGTAATGTTCCATTATATAAATTTGCAAAAATATCTTCCCTTTTAGGATCGACCATGATGTACTACAGTGTGTCACGTTGTGAAACCTTCCAATAATCAAGCCTGCAAATTTGGTATCTGATAGGCACCACGGACCAGTCAAAATGGCTGAAGCAAATATGGATTTCTACGAGTTCGGCTATCCAGACGAACGCTTTGAAACAGTTTTAAGCGAGAACCTACACTGTGCCATTTGTTCGTGCGTGTTCAAGGATCCAGTTATGTGCAAAAACGAGCATTGTTTTTGTCGAAGTTGTATCACCAAGCATCTTCAAAATTACCACACTTGCCCTTCTTGTAATCAAGATCTAACCGTGGAATCGCTAGCAGACGCACCGCGTATTGTGAGAAATTTATTGGCCGAACAAAGAATTCGGTGTGATTATCACGAGCGCGGGTGTGAGGAGATCGTTCAGCTTGGAAACTTGGCAAGTCATGTCGCTGTGTGTGGTAAGGCTCCAGTTGTGTGCGCGAATGAAGAATGTTCAAGCGAGATCAACAGAGAGGATCAATTTCGACACGAGAGCGAGGAATGTCGATTTCGTAAAGTGAAATGTCGAAATTGTAAAGAGATGGGTTCCATGGTGCAAGAAATTGAAACAAGTTTGGGCGGCCTGTGCGAGCATGTTGAGAAATTGAATACCAATGTTAACGAACAGTTGACTGAAATGAAAACCAGTTTGACTGCAGTGGAAAACAGTTTTGTCGGTATGGAAAACAAGTTTGAGAACAGGCTTGAGGGAATGGAAAACAAGTTTGAGAACAGGCTTGAGGGAATGGAAAACAAGTTTGAGAACAGGCTTGGGGAAATGGAAAACAAGTTTGAGGAAATGCAAAAGAGGTTTGAGAAAGTGGAAAACCAGTTGTTAAATGTGGATGATCCCAGACTCAGAGACCGACAGCACGAAGCAATGCATGACATGGAAAGTGCTCGAAGTGATTAAGCCACTCCAGTCGATCCAAACAGTGACTTAAAAGATGCAAAAGCCAATGAGCACGCGTTTTTTGTTGCTGGTGGATATGGAAAGGAAGGAAAGCCACTAAATTCTGCAGAAATATTTGATAAAACCACTAATTCTTGGATAGAGCTGAAACCAATGAACGAATCTCGTGCCGATGCAAGTTCAGTTGTTTACAACGGTCAAGTCCTGGTCACAGGGGGTACTTCTGATGATAAGATCATTGTGAGTAGTATAGAGCAATTTAGTCGCAATCCCAATCCGCTTATCCCACCTTGCTGGTCTTATTTCTCATTTAATTTGCCAAAGGCATTGAATGGGCATCGCAGTGTACTGTATAATGATCGAATGTTTGTTATTGGCGGTTATGATGAAGAGAAAAAAAAGTATTCTAATATGATTTACGAAATCCAGCTACGTTTTCCCTTCACTACAAAGGTTTTGGCTAAATTGCCTTCATCAACACACATGATAGGCTGTGGTGTTATTCTGGTTAATGATAAAATTTTGATATTTGGTGGTCGCGACTGCCAAAGTAAAACGACTGCGAAAGTTACCATGTATGACATAACTATGAATACGTTCCAGGAACTTGCACCATTGCCTTATAAAGTGTTCAACATGGCAACTGTCAACTTTGGAGAAAATGTCGTTCTTGTTGGTGGTTCTGATCAGTTTTATTTTGTGGATGCAAAAAGCACAGTTGTTAGTTATAATATCAAGACACAAAAAAGCGCTATGCTACCACCAATGAAGCACACCCGTTCTCAATGTTGTGCAGTTGTCGATGGAAACTCTCTGGTGGTTATGGGAGGAATCAAGCACGGTGCAGTTGCTCTCAACTCAGTGGAAGCATTCGACTTTAGATCTTCCAAATGGAGAAGTCTTCCTTCAATGAAAGAAGCAAGAAGAACGTTCATTGCAGAAATTGTCTAAAGAGAACGACTTGTTTAAGGCTCATCAAGTGAACGTATGATCATCTTGAGATTAGAGCAAATTAAGCATTGTGATCAAATATGGTACGACTATAGTATAACGAACTCACATAAACATGTAGCATTAGATGCAGTTAGTCTCCTCCACAGGAAACTCTTTTGCCAAAAAAACTCCCATCTTTGCATTGTACTTTAGGCAAGTTTGTTGGTCAAACGTACATGTGTTCGGTTCCCTCGCTCATATGGGCAGTTTTTTTGCCAAAAGAGTTGCCTGAGGTGGAGGCTAAGATGTTGCTAGCATGGTTTTATATGATCTTTTGAGGATGAACACATGGATAACTATCCATAAACTATTGTTTTCAGGATTTTATAAATAAAATTGTACATAAAATTGTTTTCATATATACATAAAAATGTTTTCAGGATTTTATAAACCTTTCAACATGAACTGAACATTCTTAGTAATTTTACAATCTTTAAGACTCTGGTATACATGTATATATAGTTACAACCTATGTTACAACTAATTTAAAGTAATTTGCTGTCAGTAATTTAATTATCATATTCAGACATTATAGCATGAAGTGACAATAATTATACTTTTAAACAGATTTCACCAATTCTATGTTCCTGTCAGATTATGTATGAAGTAATGCGCTAAAAAGGTATAAATAGGTAAAACAAACTCCGAACAACAAAAGTTTTATACAGTTTTCTGAGTCTATTTCGACCTTTGTGCAATGGAATTATCATCATTGACCAGTAGTTACCAAAATGCATCTTATCATCCCTGTAACGTACTTTTGAAAGCAGGCACACACAGTATGATAAAACAACAACGCACAGCCTTTGAGAATTAGAACCCACCCTCAAGGTTAGCCCCCTTCCCAATTTTAGGGAGCGGTTAATATTTATGGCGGCTGGCACTGAAGAGAAATTTCTCTTGGTAAAAATCCTGCATGGCCAAACATTTTACAAAAGGATACCATTCAGTTGTCACACATGTCCCTTACCACTTCTGTGACACGATTTTGAGAACTATTCGTGCAATTTTGTGCAATCTAAAATAAACAGCCTTGACATGACATCCAAATCACAACGAAACCTCTATACACTCGACTCCACAACAGTCATTTCCGTCAGCTGAAGACAAACCATCACCGAAAGATCAAACGAACGTTGTCTGCAAGCAGTGATGTAACGCTCATTGGGTAGGGTTAGTTCAAAAACTAAGGGCCCCGGCAGTTAGGGCCCCCATCAACCACGGCCCCCCATCGACAACGGTAACTGATTTTGTTATTCCATCTCAAATAAAACAAAAGTTATTCTTAAAAGTTCCCACATGCGTTGGAGACTGTTATTGGCATTGTTATAGACACGGAATTTTCCAGAACATTTATAAATATTCAATATAAATATAATATCTCAGTCAAACAATGACAACAGTCAACAGAAGCCCCACACCAAATATGCCTAAGGGCCCCCTCTTCCTTCGTTACACCACAGTCTACAAGATTAGTTGTGCAGATTGTTCACGGAGCTAGGCGAAAGGAACACAGGAGAAATGTAAAGCTCTTTAAAAGTGGTTCAAACATCGCTAATCACGCCTGGACAAACAACCATAAAATAGATTTTAATGGCGGGAAAATAATTGACAAAGGCAACTATTGGCACAGAGAAACATTTGAATGATGGTACACTGCATAACAGCATGCACAAAAACTCTAACAACAATTCAAAACATTTCCCGGAACAATATCGCTGTTTACTTAGCAAAAAACTTTGAATATTATCTACATGTAATTTAAGTCAATAATCTTGTATATAGGCGGAATTTTCAACTTTTGTCATTTTGTATTTAATTAACACTCTCATTGTAGTCATTTATAGTCATTCATTGTGCATGTTCTGTACTAGTGTCAGTAACCAATCTTGTTTGTATGTAAATGAATTGTGATAAATCAAATTAAATTAAATTAATCCACCTGTTGAAGACTTGGCGAAATTGCACCTTCCTCTTGGAATAATCAAGACCAGTACAAAGCATATGCATAACATTTTCATTATGTATAATGTTTGTTTTAAACACTATGTTTTAATGTCTTGGATCGTTTGGCGATTAAGTAGAGTTATGTGTTTTAAATGTTGCTTTAAAATCACCAAAACTCGATAAACCCCAAACTATTTTCGGCCGGCCGTGGTAGAGGGTTTGCGGTAATCAAATAAAAATTTGCCGCCACTGGAGTAGTACATGAGGTTTTGGATAAATTTATCTCAACGACATATATTTTGGTACCTATACAATCATGGCAAAAATTATATGGACAATTAGATGAAAACTAAAATACATGTTCACATGCACATGTTGGTAACCCCGCACCCCCGTGCAATGGATCGAAAGCTTTGCAGTAATAAATTTACGTGGTGTTTCCATAAACAATACTATACTATAAGATGTAATGACCTGTAATCTGTGTTCAGAAATACTAAATTTTGAAATATTTGTAAAATTAATGACAGCTGTTCATCTTAAAACCTCTCATTGTGGACATATTACACAAAATCTAATCTGAGTTCAAAAGTACTTAATTTTGAAACATATTTGTAAAATTAATGACCGCTTTTCATCTTAAAACGATTATATAGTTATGTTATTATATTTTGTGTTATGTTATCTAGTAGACTAGCCAGTATATCTCATTTAAAGATTTTGGACATACAGTATTACAGAAACTGCTACCAGTAGTTTAATAACAGTTTCGTCTTACACAATCTCTGCAATGAATCCTCTCCTTGCTTCTTTCATTGAAGGAAGATCACTCCATTTAGAAGTTTTGAAGTCAAATGCTTCCACTGAGTTTAGAGGAGCTCCATCCTGGCCGTATCCTCCCATAACTACCAACGAGTTTCCATCCACAACTGCACAACATGTAGAACGGTTGTGCTTCATTGGTGGCAGCTTAGTGCTTTTCTGTGTCTCGATGTTATAACTGATGACTGTCTTTTTTACATTTCCAAGGACAGATACATTTGACCCTCCAACAAGAATGACATTTTCTTCCAACTTGACAGTTGCCATGTTCCACACCTCGTCAGGCAATGGTGCAAGTTCCTTGAACTCATTCTTGGTTATGTCGTACATGGTGACTTTGGCAGTCGCGTTAAACAAACCTTCACTACCACCAAATATCAAAATTTTGTCGTTCCTCAGAACAACACCACAGCCTTCCATGGGTATTGGGGAAGGCAATTTAGCCAAAACCTTTGTATTAAAAGGAAAATGTGGTTGGATTTCGTAAATTATATCAGAATTTTTTTTCTCTTCATCAAAACCGCCAATAACAAGCATTCGATCATTATACAGTACACTGCGATGCCCTCTCAATGCTTTTGGCAAATTAACTGAGAAATTGGACCAACAAGGTGGGACAAGCGGATTGGCATTGCGACTGAACTGCTCTATGTTACTCACAATGTTATTACCATCAGAAGTACCCCCTGTGACCAGGACTTGACCATTGTAAACAACTGAACTTGCATCGGCACGAGCTTTGTTCATTGGTTTCAGCTCTATCCAAGAATTAGTGGTTTTATCAAAAATCTCTGCAGAATTTAGTGGCTTCCATTCCTTTCCATACACTCCAGCGACAACATATGCATATTTATGAGGATTTTTTGCATCTTTCGTATCACTGCTTGGATCCACTGGAGTGGCTTGATCACTGCGAGCACTTTCCCTCTCATCATGCACTTCTTCATGCTGCCCATCCCTGAATCTAGGATTTTCGGTGTTCAAGAACTGGTTTTCCATTTTCTCGAACCTGTTTTGCATTTCCTCAAATCTATTCTCAAACTTGTTTTCCATCTCCTCAAGCTTGTTTTCCACTGCAGTCAAACCGGTTTTCATTTCAGTCAACTGTTCGCTAACACTGGTATTCAATTTCTCAACATGTTCGAACAGGCCACCCACACTCGTTTCGATTTCTTGCACCATGGAGCCCATCTCTTTACAATTTCGACATTTCACTTTACGAAATCGACATTCCTCGCTCTCGTGTCGAAATTGATCCTCTCTGTTGATCTCGCTTGAACATTCTTCATTCGCGCACACAACTGGAGCTCTACCACACACAGCGACATGACTTGCCAAGTTTCCAAGCTGAATGATCTCCTCACACCCACGCTCGTGATGATCACACCGAATTCTTTGTTCCGATAATAAATTTCTCACAATACGCGGTGCGTCTGCTAGCGATTCCACCGTTAGATCTTGTTTACAAGAAGGGCAAGTGTGGTAATTTTGAAGATGCTTGGTGATACAACCTCGACAAAAACAATGCTCGTTTTTGCACATAACTGGATCCTTTAACACGCACGAACAAATGGCACAGTGTAGGTTGTCGCTTAAAACAGATTCAAATCGTTCGTCTGGGTAGCCGAACTCGTGGAAATGCTTATTTCCCTCGGCCATAGTTTTAGCTCGTTGGTGGTGACTATCAGATACCAAATACACCACTCGTAGTTGGCTTGATTATCGGAGTGCGTCACAAAGTGGTATACTGCAACACATACTGGTCAACTGTTAAAGAAATGACATTTTATGAGAGTCTCTATGTACTGCATGTTTAGCCCTTGTATCGCATTACTTACATACTGTTTAGCGTAAGGGATTTTTTCAGTCTGCCATGTTCTTAGCAGGTCAAGGCTATTTCAGATACGGTAGAGCATCTAATCCCCAGGCCTTTACCGGCGAGGTGCCGTACTTTGTGCTGGTATTATGCACTATTAAAAACACGAGTAGGAGTACTTTATCAAATATAAACTCGAGGCGACAGCCGAGAGTTTTATATCTGATAAAGCACTCCTGCGAGTGTTTTAGATCGCTTAAAAAACGACCCATCCTATGAGTTTATTTAGCGAAGTAATTTTAAAAATAAACGTTGTTTAAAACTCTAAGTCGAGAAACTCAAAGCCAAAGTCTACATGATTTTTTATCACATATAGAACCACCAACATGCTAGTGATTTCCTCTGTCTTTTCGTTATGAATTATTAATGAGTTTTTAAGTATAGCAAATACCTTACTCGTGCTTAACTTTGCGATTTCGTGGAGGCAATATTTCGCGATACTTTATTTTCACGATAACCAAAAATAGGAAAAGGGCATTAAATTTCGCGAAAGCTTTTGGAACAACATTTTATTTTCTATAAAAATCGGAACTACAAATTTCGAAATAAGATAACATAAGATATATACTGTCTGTATACGGTAGTCCGCAATACTAAGACTACTATTATTAAATAATTTATGTCGATATATGAGCTGCAGATATTGTTGATCATATTTGATGATCATATTGTTCATCAAGAACTTTATGATTCAAATTTTTCATTTGGGTGGTTAATTCGCGTTTGTAAATTGTGTGACTTTAATTTCGTGATTTTTTTACAATAGCGAAAATCGCGAAATTAAAGTCGCGCAAAATGAAGTTCGAATATAAAGGTATACAACACAATTGAGATACGACAAGATCATTGGCTTGCTCCTATAGTCGTCCTATGTTGCGCCAATACATTCGAAATTGACCACCATTTTTAGAACTATATAACGAATAATTGAGACGTACCTATACAAGCATATAATATCAATAAACTCGACGAGTCATTATTGAGCAATCGTTCACGACCTTCAAAAATCCGTAAAAACTTTGGTTCCTTATACGTTCTTTACAAGCAGCAATATCTTCTAGCCTGAATACTGCACCAAGTCGCAATATTGTTGAGATATAAACGTGTCCTCTTTCATATGTTTTGCAGATGTTTTGTCTCGAGTCTTCGCTGAGACATATAATATATTTGCATACAACAGACTACTATAAACACAGTACCGAATTCAATTAAAATAGGAAATAGTGTGACGGTTTCAAGTATCATGTGGCAATGATTGATTGGTTAATCTCAAGAATTTTAAGGAGTATAAAGGATTTATAATTAGGACACTGTGTATGTATGCAAATATGCTGCAGAGAATAGCGGACTTCAGACAAAACATCTGTTAAAAAATATCGAAGTCCATCTCAACAAATTGATAAATACTGTGATTTGGTGCAATATTAAGGCTACAACATATTACTGCCTTCAAGGGATGTAAGAAAGAAGACATTTTCACGGATTTTGGGATCGGAAGTTTCGAGAAATATCTCTCAATTTTGACTCGATGAGTTTGTTGATATCAAATGTCCGCATGGGTAGGTCTCACTTAATTCTTATATATACAGCTAATTCAAAAAAGGTTGTCCTTTGCAAACCTTAAACTCTAAACATTTAAAAGCTCTAAGCGTGCAATGCATAATGGGAGCATCATTTAATCAGTTCGGAAATCATACAATCACTTCTCCCACCGTGCTTCTCCTCACAAATAGCTGCAATATTCAATTACAATGCAAACTTGTGCTCCCATTAAGCTTTGCGCGCTTAGAGTTTAAGGTTT